TTCACTTTAAAAATGACGTTTTAAATTCTAAGCTCATTATAACAGATAACAGCGATAATTATCAAGTTCCGATTTTATCCCTTTCCATAATTTCATTTTAAATCTTAATTATTTTTTAATTTCAAATAAAATCATTAAAAAAAAAATTTCTGTATTTATAACAATACAAATTTTATTATTATTAATATTATAATTTTATAATAATAGTAATAATAATAAAACTGTTTTCCTACATGTTTTTATAATGTTAGTTTTGACTTTACTATTGAATTATTTTTATAATTTGTTTGTTCAACGACGAAATAAATTTTTAAATCCTGTAAAATATTTTTTCAGTTATGTTTTTGCTCAAGACAAATAGTGACAAATTGTTACAAGTATTTAGACAAATAATCTTGTATTCAAGACAACCGTAACGAATCTGAATCGTGCAAGGGCCAAAGATATATTGCCTTTAGGGCGTATATAAATAGAAAAAGAATCCTCCCAATAAACCGGAACTATTTTTTTTTATGAACTCGATATTTATATATATTTCTAGTCCATTTTCCAAATTACTAATGCAATTTTTTATAATAAAATTCTCAGGGGATATTACCCAGAAATTTATGATGAATGTCATGGTAAAAAAAAAACATTTTCATTATTTATTTTAATTAATTAAAAAAATATATATAAGCATTTAATAAAAATGACTATTAAAATGTAAGGCAATTTTTTTTAATGCAAATAATAATTTTTAATTAATTAAAGAAATGAAATAAAATACAAAATATATAATCATCAATCAATAAAATATTGAAAAAACTAACCTCTGATATTGAGACACTTCTGATTGTGATCCTTTTAATTTGATTTCTTCGGATCTTCACAAAAACACTGAATTTACATTTAATTATTTAATATAGCAAAACTATTACTGAACTTTTATTTTATTTCATTTAACCTAGCCGACTATTATCCATTTTTCCATCTGAAAAAAAAACAAAATCAAAATTGCACACACAATTAATAAAAAAATTTTGTAAATATCAAACCTTTCTTTAATTTTGAGGTTAGAAGTTACGTATGTAAATTGTTTAGTAATATAAAACATATTAATATTCATTCCATTTATTTTTCATGACTTATTTGATTAAAAATAATATTTTTAATATTTCAATTGAAAAATTATTTAATAATTAACAATTATTAATTAGTGTAAAGAAAAATTTGTTTTGCTCTATAGCGACAAACTAACAAAACTTTTGTTTTTGACTGTACACTACCCCCACCACACCCCATTATCAAGCTTCCATGTTACAAACTACAAATTACGAAATAATGCATTTTTATAGGTTCTTTATGTAGAAAAATACGAAATTAGTCGAAATTAATAAACGATTAATCAAAAAATAGATGGATTACTTCATAATTTAATCGATTACATTGTGTAAAAATGATGAGAACACAATTAACCGCTAAAGGAATGAAAAAAATTTTTCACGACAATTTTTCTATAGATTGAATTTAACGAAAAATCAATTATCTTGGTCTAATTATAAACTTAATCACAAAATATATGAAAAATATGATGAATAAATTACCTTTTTTTTGCCAAAATACGGGAACTGCACATCAAGAACTTGTGCAAGTGACGCCGAAAGCACGAAAAATGGAGGGAAGGCTGCCCAGCGCCATCTAGGCTGTACTATACCCCCACCAAGCGTCTATAACAAAAATCACGAAATAATGCATTTTTATAGGTTATTTACATAGAAAAATACGAAATTAGTTGAAATTAATAAACGATTCATCAATAAATATATGGATTACTTCATAATTTAATCGATTGCATTGTATAAAAATGATGAGAACATGCCAACAGAAAAAAATTTTGCACAACAATTTTAACAAATTATAAATGATTCTATAGATTGAATTTAACGAAAAATCAATAATCTCAGTCTTATTTACAAACTTAATCACACAATTTATTAAAAATATGATGAATAAATTATACCTTTTTATTGCCAAAATACGGGAGCTGCACATCAAGCACTTGTGCAAATGACGCCGGAAGAAAGGAAAATGGAGGACGTCTTCCCAGCGCCACCTAGGCTGGAGTTGAACAACCAATCAGAATATTGAGAATTTTGTCCAACCAATCATAATTCATTATCAAAGTTGCAAATGCTTTGATTGGTTAAATCAATTAATTTGAATTTGTGCGCTAATTTCAAATATTCTTTTACAATTATTAGTAAAAACTTATATTTATTGTTAATAATAAAGTTTATAAAATTATTATTAAGACGTACGATTAAATATTGAATCCAGTTATTAGAAATTTTCCTAGTATTTTTGATTTTAATTTAAAGATATTGAAAGTTGAAATAAAAAGTTAACTATTTCTTTACATCTAAACCGGAAGTAATCATAGAAACTAACAAAGTCAAATTGATGACTGTTGATAATTGTTGAGCAAAGTGTTTATTGACAAGTTTACATTTAATTTTCCAAGTTTTTTTCCCAAAATAATTATAATTAACTTTAATTCCGAAGCAGAAAAAAAAAACAGTTGAAATGAAATTAATAATTTAGTACTCCTGATCATTATACTATTATACTGGTTTTATTTTATACGATTCTGCTTTTGACGTAAAAAACATAACCTCTACACTGTTTATTTTCTACTGTTTAACTTTTATTTACCTTTAAGTTAAGTATTATTTATTTTGTTTAATAATTTAGAAATTTTTTACTATCTATTAGGATTTATATTTAATATTAAAAAAAAAAACAATAAAAATGTTTCCATTTGTTTTTTTGGTAACTAAAATTTTAAACAGATTAATATAATACATAATTACGTTTTTCAGGTTCTTGTTTCATTAGTGGGCAAATATTATTAATTAAGAAAAATTCTTTCGATTAATAAAAAAAAAGAAAGGATTTGAATGTCAAATTAACACTTTCTCGTGTTTAAACTTCTGCGACGGATTTCTTCTTTTCAAAACCAAAATTAGCACTAGAGATAATTACTAGGGCGTTAAATTTTCAAGAAGGGTGATAATGACAATCCAAAGCCATTAGAAACTAAATGGAACACATTTTTTATGAAGTGGTTACTTATATGGTAGATCTATTTTAAAATTTCTTTTAAACTCCCTTTTCTATATCGATACTTTTCTTTTTTTCAAATTTTACAAAATTAATAATTAAATTTATAAACATTAGTTAACAAATAATACTAATTTTTGAAAAATATTCTTTAAAAGGATTTCGTAATTAGCGAACATTTAAGAAATAGATTATTTAATTATTCACTTTATATATATATATATATATATTATGTAAAATTTATTAAACACTTAAAGAGCTATTTTAATGTTCTCATTATCATTTTATGCAATTGCAGAACTCAAGTTTGATTTAATTAAGATAAATTTACTTATTCAAGTTCGCGCGCATCTTCTTCTATGAGAGAGAAATTGCTTACAAATTTTTTTATTATGAAAATAATAAAAGTATGAGAAAATTTCTTTAATTATTTATATAAAGTAAATTAAAAAATAATCCTTTTATATAATAAAATTCTCCCTAAAGAATTGAAGTAAAATAAAATGTTTTTCTCTCTAATTTTTTCTTGTAATTTGCTTCTCAATTATTTTCTTCATAATAAAGCTTTCATTTTAATTAAAAATAATGTTTGTAATAATTAAAATGGCAATATTTACAATTGCCGCGACTTATGCTAATAATTATGAATGTTTATGATGCTGGTGTATCAACAAATGAAAATTCTGATAAAACATGATATACGAAATTTTTCGACTTTATAACTCGACACGCAAACTTTGATTAAAATTAACTGCCTTGTAAATATCGATTTGATGCTCACCTTGATGAATGTTAGGCCAATGTACTCAATTAGAGTACAAAAAAAAAATACATTTTTTCCACTATTTATTTTTATGAGTAATAAAAAAGATTCTATTTAGAGAAATTTAAATTTTTTTCCATAATATTTTATAACCACTTTTTTAAAATTAAAATAATAAAATTGAAGTTGGTACAATAATTTTTTTTTTCGAAAAAGTAATAAAAGAAAAAATGTAGAGAGAGAAAAGAACAGACGATAAATCTAAAAAAAAGAAGAAAAAATATATTTTGCAAGAGAAGAAAATAATTTACAGATTATATAAATTTTTAGTTTTGTATATTTTTTTTCTTTATGAAAATTTGACATGTGTTTGAATTGAAAATTATTGTACTTTATTCAATTTTCTAAAGAGTCTTTGTTCAATTTAAAAGTTCTTAAAAAAGAATCATAAAATCTTATTCCATTGCAACGTTTTTAGAAAATTGTTATCTGAATTTTCCATTGTGAAATACACCAGATTAAATTCGATTTTTCATTCAGCTTATTTTATTTTAAATCGTTTATCGAAAAAGAATTTGGATATTCTTGAAATTAATTGGATAAAATTTTTTTTATTTAGAAAGGAAAATAAATTGAAAATAATAATAATATTAATATTATTATTTATAATTATTAATATTATTAATATTATTCGATATCATGTAACTGGAATTTAGTCAATAAACTTGTTTGAACAATTTAAGAAACTTTTCTAATGTAAATAAGTCAGTAGAGGATTATGAATTAAATTTACTGAAACTAGAGAGATGTTGAGTTCTCTCACAGAACTATATAGAAATTCCGACACATTTTCCAACCTCCAACATTTCATGTTGAATCTTCTGAACATAGGCGCTTCCAATTTATGTGAATAGCATTTATGCTATCGCATTGTTCTACGCTCTAGCGATTTTCAGAAATATTGTTCAATGGAAATTTTAATCAAAATTCAAATATCACTTTCAAAAAAAGTAATTAAAATTTTGACATTTCAATTTCAAGAAATTCAAAATTTTATATAATATTCGAATATTTTTAAGTGTAATTAATAATTATTTCTATTTAGTAAAAATATTTTTTTCTTACCTTGTTTCAGCGCTGTATTTTCCACAATCGGATTTTATACTAAGAATACCATACTTGGCTAAAAATGGTGTCCCTTTGAGTTCTGATATAAAATTATTTACCATCAGGGCATTTCGTAATGATTTGTCAATTCCAAAAGATTTAAAATTTCAAATTGTATCGCCACGAGAAAAAATCGCCTCTCTCGATCCAAAAAATGGAAGTTTCATTTTACACACATTGCCCAAAGGAGAAAAAGGTAATTCCTTTTTTTTGCAACTGAAAAAAAGAAATAAAATTTTTGTTTATTTTTATGAAGAAAATTAATTATTAAAAATTTTTAAATAATGAAACAAATTTTCGTTAAAAAACAGGAAGTTCCAATTTTATCGTTCAAGCAAAAGAACGAAATGGAGATGTTGCATCATTGGAAATTAAATTGCAACCAGTTCCAATTGAAAATGGACGAATAAATTGTACCGATTTTTTAGAGGTACAGTCTTAAATTTTATCATCTTTTTCTAGATATAATATTATATTAATTAGAGGAATTCAGAAAAAGAATTGTTTTTTAAAATCAAATAAATTTCAATGTCAGAAAGATAAATGAATTTTTTTTGTTTTAAATACGTGAAACAAATAGAAATGTCGAATAAATGAGGAAATTAATTTTTTACAGGATATGTGCTTTTGGCAAGAGACCAAGTACAGAATATATGAGAATCAACCAGTTTCTATGCTTGGCATCCTTGGGCCTGAAATATACAAAAATATTTGTTCTAATTTTCATGTAACACGCTACGAAATGTTAAATGGTAATTTTAATATTTAACGATGTTTTTTCTTTTTTTTAAATTATTTTCTAATACACTGTCTTTTTTTTAGCTAAATATTTTATTTTTCGTTTTTCTTTCACCGTCTTTAAATTTTGAAAAATATATAATTTATATTTATTTTTAAATATTTAAAGGTACACAATTTTTCCACGTGGAAGGAAATGAAATTTTCTCAAACGAATCTTTGGATCGTGACACGAAGGACACTGTCAGAGGCACAGGTGCTCACGTGGATGTTCAAATTCGATGTGTGATTTGGGAAAGACAGACGGGATTTCAACACGCTATTGAGAAAACCATTGGTATTGACATTCTCGATCAGGATGACAATCCTCCGGTCGACCAACTTAAGGGCAATCTTGAAATACAATTGACAGATTTCACTTTGGTAAGAGAAACCAACAATACGTAAAAAAAAAAAAAAATAATGCAAATCTCCAACTTAGTTGAAAAAATAAAAAATTAATAAATAAAAGAAAAATTGAATAATTAATTAAATAAATAAAATTAAAAGTAAAATTAAATTAAAATATAAAAAAACGAAAATAGATTAAAAATTTCATGAATATAGAAAAATCAAAAAATATTCGAAAATCCTTTAAATTTAATTTTCAATGAAGTTGACGATTCTTAATCAAAGCGACATTGTATTTATAATTAAAGCATTGTATTATAGACTGTTTTAAGAATAAAGAGACGAGGGGGAAACGAGAATTATAAAGAAACTAAAAGAGCGAAAAAAATGAGCACAAAAAAAAGAGAAGGAAATATAGAAAGAGAGGAAGTGAGGCTTGAGGGCCTGATCCTGATTAAACCCTAGGCTTTTTATATTTCCCTTCTTTTTCTTGATTTCCCTGTGTGTTACCTCGCACAAACTGTCAAGTACAACAAAAATGACGAGCACAAGTAAAAATACCAGAATTTTCAGGAAATAGAAAGAAAAAAAAAGAAGTAAAGATCTATTCTAGTAACTCCTCACATCATGTCTTGTCTTTCAATCGGAAAAAGAATTTGCGCTCCCTCTCGTTATTTCACACTTTTGTAAAAAAAAAAAAGAAATCCTCTAATTCTAAAACAAATTTTTTTAATTTACTTTTTACGAAAAACTAAATTTTAATAATCTAAAATAATAATAGATCTAAATAAATTTTAAAAAATTCTTAAATATTTAAATAATAAAACAATTATTTAAATAATAAATGTATTAAATAAATAGTCTACAAAATTTATAATAATCTATTTTTTCATTTTCAAATTATTTTGTTTTTCGAAATTTTTTAGAAACTATTTGAATTAATTATAAATGGTTAAAAGTGTTTTTTAAATTATTTACCTGTTTTGATGATTTATTAAATAGGGCGACAGACTGGATAAAAATGAATTGATGGTAAAGGATGCGGATGCGATAAGCAGTAATCGATATTCTGTCCAAATTCTGGGAGATATTTACAACGCCTTTAATATTACATATGACACTCTCGCAGTGGAAGTTGGTCCAGAAATCCCTTCATCGACAGTAATTTACACAAGTTAGTTTTTCCTAGAAAAAAAAAAAAAATCAAATCGATTTAGAATTTAAATTTTTTTATTAAACTAAGTAATCTTATATAAAATAAAAACTATTTTGGAATTTATAAAAAATATTTTTTAAAATAAATTATTCAACATTTTCTGTAAAAAAAAAAAAATCTCATTTAAAAACAAATTTTCTACCCACAGGAATTTATTCAAAAACAACTTTGTTGCCAAAATCACCCTATCGAGTTGTTCTTCAAGTGAGAGATGAATCTCTTCTTCCCGGATACGGTAACAATTTGGTAAGAAATTCAATTATTTAAACAATTTGATCGTTGAGATTTTTTATGTAAAAAATAGAGACGGATTTATAAATCTTTTTTTTTTTTTTGTATAAATCACGAAATTTAAATATTTTCGTTGTGGAACTTTCAATGGAATAGGTAGAGAGTAAAAAAACAAAACAAAAAAAAAATTGGTCGTTGGAGTGTAAAAACGAATTTGATGGACGCCCACAGATGTCCATCATGTCGACAAGTTTGCAGTAAATTTGCGATTAAATTCTGCTCGGGAAATCAATGCCACTCCCAAGAAATTAACTGAACCTGGGCTTTAATTGGCCCATAATCATGAAATATGTTTTTAGGAGTTTCCACAACGGATGAGATGAATTTCCGTTTTAAATAAACGATTATTCTTACTCAATTCTCAAAAAAAAATATATATTTCCCCTTTTATCACTTTTTTTTCGTATTTAAATGCAATTTTACCAATTTTAATCCAAATTTTGAGAAAAATTTTCAAATATTTTATTTTTCTATTTATAGTTTCTTTTTTTTTTGTGAATTATTTCCTCATGATTTAGATGTAATTGAATTGAATTTTCGACGACTTTAATCGTTTGCAATTGAATCTTTTATGGTTTCGCTTATTTTCTTCGCAGAGGCATTTTTCCCCCACTGAGATTGTATCACTTTAGCCAAATGGATGCACATTTATTCTCTACCATCTTAAACTGTTTTCATTGCATGTGACAGCGTGCGGAGATATTATGTGGATATTGGAAAAATTGTTGCCTCCTCCAGAGAACTTTTTTTTCCTATCACAGAGGACAAGAAACTTCTTTTTCTCTCTCTCTTTCTCTCTTGATAAAAATCTCCAATTTAATTTGTCTACGAATGATTTGTTGTCTCAAACTTTTATGCCTCTTTGACTTTTATATTAAATTTTCTCAACTTTTTTTTTCGCGCAAAAATTTTTATTAAATTATCAACAATGGAACGATAATAATCTTAATAATAGATTAAGTTAATTATTTACTAAAAAAAATATAAGAATTGATAAAAAATTACTTAATTTTTACCACATGTAGAAACTTTTTAATTATTCAAATTTAAAAGTAAAACTGGCGAATGTAGAAAAACTAGATAAACAAAAAGGCGAAGAGTAAAAAACTGCAATTCTGTGTTTTAGTTAAAAGTTTCTTTTTTTTTTTTAGATGTTTTACGGTAATCTAAATCCAAGTTACTTTTTTTTTTTTTTATTCTATTTTTATTCACGGACAGTAACAAGGAGCAACAATGAAAAAAAAAGTATGAAAAGAAAATAAAGGCCTTCCCAACTTTAAACTTTTAATCTGAATACTATATGTTGCAAAGGTACCTGGTAGTGGGCGAGGTGGTTTAAATTGGATCCGGCTGAGGAAATAAATCTCTCTATAATGTCTGGCTTTCCCTCGAGCGATATCTGCGGCTGGTCCTTACAGCTAAAAAAGCATCTATGCAACTGGAAGTTGGATTACTTTGCAAATTGATCCCCCTTTTTCAAAGAAAAGTGACCATTAACTTTCTTTTAATTATTGCATTTATCTAAACACAGCAAAAAAAAAAAAATTAAATTCTACAAAATTATTTCTGAAATCAATAATATTATTTTATTTAATTAGGTAGTTAAGATTTTTGAATAAAAAAATTATTAAATTTACTCGAAATTTTTCACTAAAATATAAATATAAATAATAATTAAAAATTAAATTATAATTTATAATTAAATTCAGATTTTTTAAATGAATGAAGCTTTATAATTAAAAATATAATATCAAAGTTATAATTAAAATAACGAATTTATTTCCATCGAAATAGATTAAGTTGGATAAAATTTTAATTATTTTTTGTCATTTAAAGAGAGAAATATTTCAATATTAATAACAAACTTGGTACTATTGTGTAAATATTGAATAATATTTAAATAACAGTTACCTCTAAAATAATAATTAATAATAATAATAATAATAATTTTAATAACAATGAAGACAATAAAATGATTTGATTTATATTTAAAAAAAAATTTTTAAATTATTTTTACACAAAAATATGTAAAAATAGCCTAATTATGATGTAATTATGAAACAAGACTATCGCAGTTTTTATTAGCGATTCAAATCAGATTGCATTATGCAAATTAGATATTAATACTCAGAAAGTGAATTTAGGTCGCGCGATGATCGTGAAAACTTAATTTCCAAGAACTGAGAAATTCGCAAATAAACCAATGAGACTACAATAAGGCAGTAATTAAGCAACGAGAAGATTTGTAATTAAGAATCACTTAGAGATGAAAGAGTATTAATTTGCCGATGATAAAAAAAAACTAATAACTGTCGGAAGAAATTTTAGTTTAATTTATAATTTAAAATCAAAATTTATAATTTTTTTCATTTTATTTTGTTTTATTTTATATATAGAAAAAACGATCCTTTTCAATGAATGATGAGCATTTTTTTTTTTTTGTGGAATTATCTGAAAAATTGAACAATACAGCAATTTAAAACATCGCTTTTCTCATAAAAATGAAACTAAGGGGAAAATAAATTTCTATATAAAAGGAAGATACGAGCTTTTGCTCTAAGAAAACCTTGAAGATCGATTTACCAGTCTTCTAACATACCTTTATAGATCTTTTACTCACTTTAGTTTTTCTTCAGTGTTGCTGGATATTTAGTTGCCACAGAATTTAAACTGAATAAAAATAACCCGCAGTATTTTATTTATTATTTCTTTTTGTACTCTTTTTCTTCCAGAAACTGAAAATAAAATATAAAAAAAAAACTAAACATCAAACAAAAAAGGAAATTTAATACACATATATACACTTAAAAAAGCAACGAAAATTTAAATGAAATAAAAAAAAAATAAAATATTTTAAACTCCAGAAAAAAATTTTAATTTAGAAAATTTGAATATACAATATTAATTTAAAAAATATTACAATGTTCAATATTTAGGAAAATTGAAAATAAATGTTCTCAATTTGAATTTAAAATTAAATTTTCTAACTTGTAATTTTTGAATTATTTTTTAGGTGAATATAAATATAGTTTTTATCGGACCTCAACATCATACGACAACATCGACAACATCCTTGCCAGTTCGTAAAACGATTTCATATCCAGGAAGTATAAAAATCGCACGAACATCCTCACAATATTTTCGTGTTGCACAACCCTCGATTAAGTCGAATCCAAAGCTTTTATTCAGTCTCTCTGGATCAAAAGCTTTCAACATCACTCGAAAAGGTGGAATAATTTTCGTCTCGAATCCCGATATTCTTCCATCTCTTTCGTCACCGTTTCTGTGAGTATAAATATACCTATAATATAAAAGAAAATATTTTTCCTTCCCTTTATTTTCCATATTTTTTTTGATAAATTAATTTTTTTTTTAAATTATAATAAATTTAATTAATTGAAAAAATTAATTTTTTAAATTATTAATTTAAAGAATTATTTGAATTTTTATGATGAACATTATTGTAGATTAAAAGCTGAGTGGAAGGCACCTGATAATAGTATTTCTTCGACTCAAATAACAATACATTTGGTCAACACTTTTGGTCCAAGTAATGAATCTTGTGCTTTGGATCAATGGGCCTCTCGATCATGTGCGAATGCAGAATCCAGAAAGGACTGTGAAGCCAGATGTGGAATTGGCAGTGGTTTCCTTAGGTATAATTAATTTTCCATAATTATCAAATTTTTCTTAATTTGTAATTTTTTTTATTTACTTCTTTTCTTCACCTTTTTCATGTGTGTTTTTTAGCCTCTTTTGGTCCTTTATTTCGAAATCTTCTTTCATCTTTAAAATCTAATTTCAGTTTTTAATTTCTTTTTCTAAATTTTTGGTGTTTTTTTTTTTTTAATTTTTGTATATTTTACAAAAAGTATAACAATATTTTTCCAGTAATAGTGGATATAACGGCCATTGTATTTGGAGATTGAACAATGCCAATAATCCTGGATCCGGATTAACCGAGAGATACGAAACTTGTTCTCCAGACTTGACTCATTGTCCAGATCATGTTTGCGATGAACTCGAGGTTCTCGATCATCGAATTTGTCCCCAAGATTGCACTATTGAATGTGAGTTTAGTTTAAAAATAAAATCCAAAAATTCTTTTTCTAAAAATGAAAAATATTTTTTGATAATTTAAGGAAAGAAAATAATTTTTAAAAAAATGATTCATTTATTACGAATCAATAAATTTACAAATTACATAAATTGAAAATTGTTAAACTAAAAAATTTAATTTCAATCATTTTTTATTGGAATTTTTTTTTTCAAAGACTAATTCACTTATTATTGAATATTATAAATGATTATTAAGGGTCAAAGGTAAATTGTTTGTAAAAAAAAAAATATCATAGTAAAAGTTCAGGAAATAATGATCAGAAAGTGGACTGTCATAAAAAGTTTCATCAACTGGAAGAATTGAATTGGAAAATATAAACTATTTTTTTCTTTCTTTTTTTTTTTGTAGCTGAAGTGCACTTCGGCGAAATGAACAAGGGTGGACGAGGAATACGAAGCGGGTTAGGGATTTGTACTTGCAATGACATGATGCAGTGCACCTGTGGTCTGGACTCTTTCCAGATAAATGGGAGCCGAGACCGAAGTACCAGTAGAAAAGATGGAAAAGATGGTTCTAAATGGAAAAAAGATCGTGAACGTGAATTTGTACCGGTAGTTTCGGACGCTCGTAAAGGTGAGCTTTAAATAAAATATTGCAAGCTCTCTCTTGCAAACCTTTAATTAAATTTCCCCAACAACAAATTGCAGATCACTGCGCTCCACAATCTGTTGCCACAAGATTTATTCTCTTCATTTTTCCAATTCAAAATTTACCTATTTTATTTATATTTCTTTTTACTTATTTACTTAATAAAAAAAATCACAAATTTTACCATTTTTTCCCCAGCATCCAATGGATCTTGTGGACCGACTTGTCTAATTGGCGTCATTGGCTCCAGCTTCTTTGTTCTTTTGATAATTGTCGGATTTTTCGTCATGTGGAGATACCGGTAACTATTTTTTAAAATTTTAATTTAGTTTAAAATTTAAATTAAAAATATTAATTAAAAACAAAAAATAATGAAAATAGATCATTTTAGTAAAAAAGAAGGAAAATCATTTCTATTTTTTTATATATAGGAAATGAATGAAAGTTTTGAAAATCATGCATGTTGATGAACAGATTTTAATTCACCGTGGCTTGAAATAAGTAAAGAGATTAAAAAATACTTATCGTTTCTTTTTTGCATATCTTTTTTTCCACATGAATCGCTTTGCTGTGGTAATTTATCGTGAGTTTACCAACTAACGACTTCGATTGTTACACATACACACACTGTGCATTTAGGTCGTGTAAACAATGTTTTATGGCAAACATGATCCTTTTTTTTTTCTTCCTTTCGAGTAATTTTCCTTATCGTGAATTAATTAACTTATGGTACACATTGATTAACACGTGATTTTTTTTTTTTTTTGATGAAAAAAAATGTTTTCTTTGAAGAATGCCTGTAACAGATAAGAAATAATTTTAAAATTGATGTAAAAAAAATTTAAATATTAAGGCAAATAAAATAAATTTTAAAAATTTAATTTATTAAAATAAAAATAGAAAATTGATTTTTTATTAAAAACTCTATTTTAGAGAGACGGGGTTAATTGATTTGTTTGAATAAAAGGTCCCGGTCAAGACGCATTTACCCGAAAGATCACAATCAACATTTTATCGATTGTCCTTTCCTTTTAGAAGGCAAAACGACCTTTGGCAATATAGAAAGAAAAGTTTTTTTTTTTCCGCGTGGACGTGGGTCGAAACAAAAGGGGTAAAATATATAGCGTAACTCGACCGAGTGCACGTAATTTGTTTTTAAAGACCTTTTCTTTTTCAAGTACATAAAGTTTCTCTTTTCAATTAGTAGTAACGCCTGTCCTCACTATTTAATTACCATTAATTACTCATTTGAAATCGAAAACTCAAGTTGACATTTAAAATAGTATTTAAAAACTTCAATTATTTTCAGATTTATAAAAATATTTTTATATTAAAATTTTAATAAATTAAATAGAATAATAAAAATAAGTTAATAATTTTGTTTTTTGCAGAATGATTCTAAAGGGATCTCGTCGTGATTGTAAACACAGAAGAGAAAATGGAGCAAATGGTTTAGGAATTTTGCCCTCCGATTATATTGACAGAGGAGATGGACTTTTAATTGGTCTCGATTCTTTCGCAGGTGTAAATCGATCTTTTCTACTTCCTAAGAGCTCTCCGGTGAGTTTTATTGATTCAATATTAATAAAAGAAAATTATCCAATTGAAAAAAATTGGAAAAATATTATGGAATTTTCGGAAAAAGATGTAAATTACAAAAGAATTAAATTTTATAAAATAAATTATAAAAAAAAAATAAATATAAATAAAATAAACTATAGAATAATTCATTTTCATAATTCTAATTTTCGAAAATGAATGTTGATGACTTTTGAACACTCATAAGAAACTTTCACCGAAAATGCATTATCAGGAAAATGTTTCTTGCATATTATTGCACCCAAATGTAATATCAGAAACTTGACTCCGTTATCTAAAACAAACAGTTATATTGCTTTCCATTATCATTTTCATGCTCCAAACAAATGTTTACTGAACTTTAATTATAAATTTAAATAATTATTTCTAAACAATAATAGCTATCAATTAATTGTAAAAAATTATGGAAAATATTTTTCGAAATAACTTTTAAACTCTAGCAATATTTTTTTTCTACTTTTTTAAAAAACTATCTTATTTTAATGAATCCATTTAATTTGTTTTTTTTTTTGGCAAAAAATTGAGAGACTTGACAGAAAATTTTGATCTTATATATTTTATTTGCGCCCAAATCTGAAAAATTATTTTTCAAGATTGTCAAACATTCGTCATTCGTTTTGCGGAAGAGATAAAACTATTTCCTGCGAGTCTCTACGTTTATTTTCAAATATATATACAATGCAACTGTATGAGATTGGCGTGATAAGAATTCAAGTGCATAATTCACCCTGCAATAGGCGTTGTACTTCTATATATACCACCCTTAGTTTCAAGTCGCCGGAAATTGTCTTAGAAGTTAGTTTACGACGCACGGATAAGCCACCAAAACGAGCACTCTCTCTAAAAGTCAAAAGATCGATCGAAGCAAATTATGCGATACATAAAATTTTACGAGAGCAATGCTTGTTGAATTTTAAATAAAAGTCAGAAATTTTTCCTGACAAGTGTCAACTTCAATTTCAATTCAAAAATATGGAAAATATTGTATTTCTTATATTCTTTGAGAAGAATTCAATTTATATAAATTTTTGTCAGCAAGAAACTTTTTCTCAAGAATTTAATTTAAGTTCACTATTTGACATTTTATTTAATTTCTTTTTTTTTTTCTTGTCAAATTTAATTTTACTTTTTCATTTTTTTTTGTGTATCAAATTTATTTTACATTTTAGTGACAAATTTAATTTAAATTTATATTGAATTTAATTTTGTTGTGAAATTAGTTTTTTTTTTGTCAACAGTGATCTTAAATTAAGTTTATCATTAGGAAATTCTCGAGAAAGTGTTTTTCTTACTGATAAATAGTTAAGCACATTTTCACTGAAATGGAAAGAACGATAAGTCATTAATCATAGATGAAAAAAGAAAAATTGTTAAGATTCTTCTTCTTCTTCTTCTTTTTACTTCATAAAAATCTTTCACATTTAATTTCATTCTAGATTATAGTATTGAATTCGAGATATTAAATTAATATTTAATTTCACATTTTGTCAGGTGACTTTTAATTTACTTCGTTTTGATTGAAGATTTAATTTTAATTACTCTAAAAAAATTTTTATACTAAAAATTTCTATTTTGTATTTTTTTGTGAATTAAATTTTTATAAATAATTTATTTATAATTAAATTTAAAGAAAATTTCTAAATGATAAAAATAGAATTTCTTTAATTTTAATAGTAAAAATAGTGAAAATAATTATAAATACCAATTTTTTGAATTTTAGCCGGATCCAAAATGGGAATTTCCAAGATCTCGATTAACGATAGAGCAAGTATTGGGCGAGGGTGAATTTGGCAGAGTTTTACGTGCAAAAGCATTGGAAATTGGCGGATGGACGGGTTTAACAACAGTTGCAGTAAAAACACTCAAGGAAGATGCATGTGCTTCTGAATTGGCTGATTTACTCTCCGAATATCAACTATTAAAAGAGGCCCAACATCCAAATGTTATTCGTCTCCTGGGTGCATGTACTTCTCACGATGGACCTGTTTATCTCATAATCGAATTTGCCGAGTTTGGTTCACTGAGGTGAGAAAAATCCCCCTTGTTGATGCAAAATCAATAATAATATTCGCCTGACCTGAAAATAATGCAAATGCCATTTAAACATTAACTTCATTCAACTGAAAATCATTTTGCTTCTTCCTTTCGAATTTCAACTTAAATCGAGCCTTTGAAAATAAATATTTTTTCAATTCATTTTATTTTTTTTAAATCTTTCTCTCCAATACAATTTATGTATTTAAATTAGAAAATAATAAATTAAATTCTTGCATAATTAATAACTCAAAAGAGAATTGAATTTAAAAATTTCTACTTTCACAACGAATCGATTTATTTATTTGTTTGTCAAAAAAATTCAAAATTATTTCAATTTTAAATTAAAAACGGAGTGATTGAAGGGAAACGACCACTTTCTATGCAAATTTAGAAAGACAGTATTTCCTTCCAAGTTTATTTGGAGAATGTGGCTGTTATTGCGAATGCGGAAATAGTTAAATGAATTCCACATCAATAGCACGCATACCATAAGAACAATAACCGAGGAGACTTGCTCCAAATTTTAAGTAATTAAATTTTATTTTTTATTCACTAACACATGGTCTATTCTCTTGATTAAAGAATTCTCATGTGACTAAAATAATTCTAAAATGATTTTGTAATAGAAAATTTTAATAAATAAAATCAAAGAATTTGAAAATTAATTATTTAATTTTTTTTTTTAAAGAAAAAATAAGAATGAAATATTTTTCAATTTGGGAACATAAATTCTTTTTTTTTCGTAGAAATTATTTAAGACGCAGTCGTCATTTAGAGTCGGAAGGGAGAGTTCCATGTTCAACGTCTTTGCTTTCGTCATCTCCAAATAACATAGTTCAGGAATTACAAACGGATCCCCCGTCAAATTATGCGATTACACCGCGAGATATTTTATCCTTTGCTTGGCAAATCAGCAAAGGAATGGCATATCTCGCTGATATTAAGGTAAAAAAATCATTTTTAACATTTTTTTTTTATTATCAAATAGAAATCAAATTATAATGGAAAATAAATTAAAATTAGATTTGAAATTTATGAAATTTTTAATTTTTAACAGTTGGTACATAGGGATCTTGCGGCAAGAAATGTTTTACTCGCAGCTGGAAAAGTTTGTAAAATTTCCGATTTTGGTTTGACACGCGACGTCTATGAAGATGACGCTTATTTAAAACGAAGCAAAGGCCGAGGTATATATATAAAAAAAACAGTAAATTACCTTTTCTTTTTCTTTGAAAAAATTTTCAAAACATTTAAATTTTCAGTTCCGGTTAAGTGGATGGCTCCCGAATCTTTAGCTGATCACGTTTATACGAGTAAATCGGATGTTTGGAGTTTTGGGGTTCTTCTTTGGGAATTAGTCACATTAGGAGCTTCTCCTTATCCGGGAGTCGATGTTCATAATCTCTATAATCTCCTCAAAGCCGGATATCGCATGGAAAGGCCCGCAAACTGTTCTCCTCAACTGTAAGAAATTCTACACCTATTTATAATTTTCTTTTTTTTTATTAAATATTATTTTCTATGGAACAATTTTTAATACATAATAACAAATATTTCTCTTTGCTTTAATTAATTTATTTTCAAAATAAGCAAAGGTTTTTTTTCTAATTAAAATTTGTGAATAAAAATAAAATTCAGAACCTAAAAAATATTTTTGAAAATATTACCTGTTATTTTCTTTTTTAAGATATAAATTGATGGTTTCCTGTTGGCACGATGAACCAGGAATGAGGCCTTCATTTAAAGAGTTGACATTCCATTGGGAACGAATGTTGGAGGACGGAGTTGAATATTTAGATCTGAATCCAAGAACAGTTCATAATCAAGCGTATTTCGCTTCTCTTCACGCTCTCGACAGTCCTACAAGTAGTAATTTAATTTTTACACCAAAAAAAAAAAAAAATATTTTAATTTCTTTTTCTAAAGTTTCAAGACAATTACTTTTATTAACAAATTATATATAAATCTTTATTTTACACTCACCGTTAATATTTTCTTTTGAAGAATCGCCTGGCGATGGAATTTTGGATGGTGGTTCAACATCATCGAAAATAATTGGCTCGAATGCAGTGAATTATTTGAGTAAACCATTTTTTGAGCCTATGACAAAAAGTGACAAGGTTGATAAATTACATACACTTTGGCAAAATCCCATTGCCTCGTTTCCCGAGGAACCAATAAAATCACCATACGTTAATGATCGTCCCGCGAGTATGAATATCAATCACTATGAGAGTCCAATAAAATTTCGAAATTCGAGTGTAACAAGTAATAGTGAAAATGATCTCTCAACACCCACAAATGAAAGACCACAATCATATATTGACATGCAGGGGAAAAAAAATGTCGATCAAGATCTTCTTCTCTTCAATAATGTCATTGAACATCAATCATCAGTGGTAGCGAATGCAAATTTAGTCTGAAAAAGAAAAGCAAAAAAAAAAAAAAAAAAACCGCATTTGAGATTGTAAAAAAATCACCTGTTTGAATACAGCGCGACACATATAAAAATCTCCAAAATCGTTATTCGCTTTTTAAATTTTCAAAAGCGAGATTCTTTTGGAAAGAATTTTTCCACAACTGAAAAAAGGAAAAAGAATTTGTGCGTAAAAATTGCCAAAGAGTACTTGGCAAAATGTTATTCTTAATGTTATAATGGTACTTATTGTTTTTGTTAAAAGGCGAACAATTTAAAAAAATTAATCAATTTTAAATTGTTCATCTAACGAAAGATTTTTGTAAATAAATAAGTTATGATTTTTTGCGATGAATCTAAGTCAAGTCTGAAAAAAAAGAAAAGAAAGCATCAGTCGTGATAGTCAAGTGAATAGGACCAAAGAATAAAAGAAAAGTGCGCAGGAAAAAAAAAATACCAAAGGCATTAAAAACGAAATAACAATATTTTTGTGTAAAAAATAAAGCAACGTATCGTTATCTAAAATAAATAATAGTAAACTAATATAATAAAATATAATTGTCGATCTTAGAATTTACAGTCTTAGCTAAAATGAAACTAAATCATAGTGCGCGACGCGATTTTGCATTTTCATAAAATATCACTAAGCTATAAATTCGGAAAATCTATTGTTGAAATTCAAATTAACACCTGTTAAAATTATGTTAAATTCTATTTGTTCTATTTCTATATAATTTTATAAATCGTCGATTGACAATTTAAATTAAAATCAACAATTATTTAAACATTATTTATTTATAATTATCTAATTACAGTAGTTTCGAACATTTGTTTTTTTTTCAAAATTCTTCCTATACAATCAATCGAAAGCAGCAAAATTCTGCTAAATTGCTATTTATAATTTTCCTCAATTAATCGAAGATTTCTTTTTTTTATCAAACACAAAAAAACTTCCTTTAAAAAACCAAATTAATAATCTTATATAGAAAATATTTTTTATTACTTCCTTAAGATCTATTTTGTATAAAAGTTTCCTACTTTTCTAATTACTATTTAAAAGCCACAGTTATTGAGCCCCTTTGCCAATTACGCAAAGATCTTTTATTTTTTTTTTTATTTCTTTTCTTTTTCTATTCAAATCCATATGACAACAAAATAAAGACTGTGTTTTCCATACCTAATCAAAGTTTTTAATTATAATATATATATCAACATTTTTTTTTTGTATTTATGTATAAAAATCACATTCCAGTAGTATCACTATTTATTTAAAAAAAATAGATAAATATTTTCAACGTATACCTCATAGAAAAAAAAGCTCGCATTGCTTTAACAATTATAACAATAATTTCAAAAAGGCGGCTCTCTTAAGATTAATTTGAAACTAAACTTTTTTACTTTCACATTATTTAAGTACATTTTATTCTATATTTTTAAGTTGATGCTTCTTTACTCGCGACAAATTCCACAAAAAATAAAATTCAACAATTGATAAAATATAAATAATAAAAAAATTAAAATGTTAAAAGTAAAAAAAAAATTATAGTAAAAAATTTTCAAATTAAAAAGATTTCAAAAACTATTTAATTAAAAAAAAAAAAATTTTGTACTAAATTCTTTGAAATCTTTTTAATTTATTTTATCAACTTATTGGTGGAAATTGTCGCGGGTTGAAGAATAAATTTTTTAAACTGGTTTTTTGTTTTTGGAAAGTAAAAATGTTTGCTTCTTTTTATTCGTAAGACGGATTATCGACCAATGTCTGATTGTCTATCACGGCCAATTAGCTCGCCGTTATTAAATGCTTGTAATTACTATGTAATAAAAAAAAAAAATAATAATAAATCGCACACTTATGCAAAAAAAAAAGTGAAAGAAACACTACTGGCTACTCAATACTGTGTACCATTCAGAGTCCAAAACATTTTCAATAAAAATCTCTTTAAATATGTTTCCAATTTTTAATCAGAGACAATTTATTTTTTAATAAATATATATTAAATTTTTGAACAAATTTAATTTAATCACATTTTAAATGATAATTAAATTAAATTATAAGTTATAATTTTTAATCTCTTTTTAAAGCATTTCATTTATCACATTATAAGAAATTTCAAAAAATTTAATTTTTTCGTTAATTTTTATAATTTACTTTACTCACAAGACAAAATGCTTCGAGTTTTATTAAATTTTCAAAATTAAAAAAATAGTGACAGATAAAAAAATATATAGAAAATTTTTCATTAAAAATTTCAATGAAAAAAAAAAAATCATTTTGACTAAAAATATGTTTCTAAAAAAAAACTCACCCTAAATAAATAAGTTCTTCATTCATTATGAAAATTAAAAAAAAAATCAAGTGAAGTCTTCGAGATTCAGTCTAAAAAAAAAACAGTGAGATTACAAATCTAATTTCTCAATATGAAATTCAGATTCATCATTAGGCGTCACGTAAGTGAGAGGATCACCATCGCCATTATCGCCAAGTAAATTGAGCTCTTCAATATTTGTTTTGAAGTATTTTGGACTCACGCTACCGTCCGTAATATCCCCATCTTTATCATCAGTCTCTTTATCATGATTCAAATCGAAAAATTCTTCCTTACTCACAGGCATTAAAAGATTATCTGCAAAAAAAATTGTTTTTTAAAAAATTAATTCAAAAACTAAAATTTCCCTTTTAGAATTTCTTAATTATTATTTTGAAAAAAAATATATATTCGTAAAAAATGAAATTCTCACCGGTCTCATCCAAATTTTTCGGACTTTTGTCATCAATGCGAAGAACATCAATTTTAGCAATTTTCACCGCTTCAATAAAATTTCTCGATGAGACACCAAATATTTCAATGCTCTCAACTTTATGAATTGTTTTCACCAATTTTTCCAAATCGTCAGGTAGAAAAAAACGTTTAAAATGTCTTGCTTCCTGTGGAACACTATCCAATTCACAATAAGGAAATTGTAGAGAATAATAATTTTTATCACCCTGAGGATAATTTTCTTTGAGCAATCTTAATGATTGTTTATCCATATTACGATAAATAACAGGAACTGAAACATCATCACGAGGTGGTGATGAGGCTATTAAAACAACATCCGCACTGTGGAATGCATCATTACACCAGAGACCTGGATCCTGTATAAGAAAATTAAATTAAATTTCTAATATAATTAAAATAAAAAATTTAAAAATAAATTCATACCTTGCTTGCAGTTTCAGGAATATCTAATGAATCAATCATTGCATTAATGCTGCAGCCTCTTAAATATTTTGTCAATTCAATCATGACATTTACATGAGCGGAATGTGTAGGCGAATAAACCAATAGACAATTTGGTTTTATGTCCGTTTTCTTTAGCATCACTGTTTTTTCCCCCAAAAAAAGACAGAGATAGAAAATAATTTTTTGTTTAAAAATAATTACCACTTACCTTTCTTTTTGTAGACTTTATAGACATGATACATAGCATAGAAAAGAACAGGCGGTATCCAAATGACGCTTATAATCATTATTAAAAGACGATGAGAAACTTGTTCTAGAAAAAAAAGAAAAACAATTAAATATATATAAAAAAAATGAATAGCAAAGAATATTCAAAAAAAAAATTACTTATGCTAATTAACGGTGAAGTACTGTTTACACAGCCATATTCATTGCAATCGAAATGTAAAGCCGCAACTTTAAAATAATAAACTCCCTCATCAACGGGAAAAGAATGTTGAATATGTCCATTTCGTTTTTCTCGAAAAATCAAATCAATTATTTTACCAGTATTATTATTTATCAACCAAACACGATAATCAGACACATTTAATCTCTCAGGTACAGTTTGTATAAACAATGTCAACGTCACTGTATCCGAAACATCAACATAAACAAATGGTGTAAACATTTTCACATCACGTACTGTATCGTCTGAAAATTAAAAAAAAAAAAAAAAATTGAAATTAAAAATATAAAATAAAATATTTTACCACAAAAAATTAATATCTTACCAATAAATCTATGTCTTGGTACGATAAATACCAATTTTCGACTATATTCATAATTATATGATTCAATTAAATATTCCAAACGATATGGAGTTGTTTCGTATGTTTCATCTGAAAATGGACACGAAACAAAAAAATCTTTTGGCCATTGTTGTGTTTTATTTCCATAAAATTCAACATGACGACAAGCTGACAATTTTTCTTGACTTGCACTTTGATATCTTGTCACGAGCCCTAAAAAATAACAAAAAACAATATAACATTTTATATTTCAATTAAAAAATAAATATGTATAAATTTTTAAACTCACTGCGAAAATTAATGTCAGATATAGAAAGATTAAAAGCAGTTGCTTTATCTTTCAAATTTCCCGAAACAACATAGGCTGATAATTTCAAATTTACCAAAGGTACACCATGTGGTGGCAAATGTCCCAAATTATCGAATTTTAGATTCACACATTCTAAATTAAAAAAGAAAAAATAAAATCAATTCAAAATAAATCGAAATAAGTATTCTAGTTTCTTAATTTCTCTATATTAATTTAATATTAAAATTTTCTATTATTAAATAAATTGGGGGAAAAAAATCTTAATTTTTCTTTTTCAAAATAAATTTCTACCTTTCTCCTTTCCTAGAGATGCCAGAAAGCACAGCATTCCAGATTCTTGTTTTAGTTGCATTAAAAAACAATTTAATTTCACAAAATAATTTAAATATATATATTTTTTTTTCAATAAAAGCCTTTAAGCAAAATAATTTTGCAAAAAAAAGACTATAGAGAAAGCTAAAATAAATGTAACCTTTCCAGCACTCATGAGGAAACAAAATGTATGGCTGATTTCTACTATAGCAATAAAAAAAAAAAAACGGAAAATTGCGAAAAATGGAAAATAAAAGAAATATTTGTACCTTCTCCTCTCTCTACAGGTGTTAAAAGGCACAATATTTCCAATTCTGGTTTTAACAGGGTCTAAGAAAAATAGAAATGATAATTAGAAATTATTTACAATAAAACTAGAATTGTGCAAAAAAGAAACAATAATAAATAAAAACTGAGGAATAAAATTTAAAAAACCGTATAAAGTACTGAAAAAAAACATTGATTAGAAATAATTATTAACCTGTATCATACATAATAAATAATTTGAATTTGACATTTGCTGTCAAAGAAGCACAACAATATTGATAATTACAATATCAATCCTCAGAAGCCTTATTCATACATACTGTCTGTTTTTTGGCTTCACATAAGTATTTAGTTGTTGTTTTTTTTGTGAAATTAATAATAAAGTAAATCTTACAAATAATAAACAATTATCAAAAAAAAGAAACATATACTCGTCCTTGACAGGACATCAACAAAGGAATTTCATACGTAAAAGAAGAAAAATTATTGTAAACAATTACAATTATTTTTTGAAATATCTTACCTTATTTTGACAATAATTAGGATAACAAACATTGGCATTTTCAATTTTAACAAGATAATATAAAATGAACACAAAAATATAGAACTTTGTGTACATTTTTTTTTTTACAGGTTATAAACACAGGAGGGCAATCACAAAAACTGTGTCACAAATTCTTTTAACACATTTAACATATTTGTAAATTTCAATTAATGGAATAGACAAATTTACACAATTACATAACTATACACAATGGATGTATAATAATTTGTTTAATAAAATTTTGTTAATATAAAATTAATAACAATAATGTTATTGTTGCTACTTCATGAAACATGACATAGATGAGACACAAACAATAATAATGTTAGTTTGTATTATTATTCGATAGACAGCGCCACTGCCTTAGGTCTACAAATTTTTTAAAATTCATCTATATGAGAATTTTGTTTTTAGTAATGATTAAAGGGAATTGTTAAAAAAAAACGTGTGCAATTAATAAACAAATAACAATAATGTAATTTAAATTGTTTTTTTTAAAAGAATGTTAGTGATTAAATTTGAATAACTGATTTCTGTAATTTATACGACTATTAATTATATATTGAATGATCTATTTTTACAAATGTGGTATACACGAAAACAATTTCTAACCTCAACATTGTTTACGTCAGCTACTCGATTAGTGCAACAAATTAATTTAAAATATAATTCATCTTGTACTTATAACATGAATGAAGCATATTTACGTTTTGGCAAAGGACAAGAAACCTTTGAATTTACATTTCGATATATTGATCAAGATTTAAAAATAGATAGACAATTTAATTTTCAAAGAAAAGCCAGTGAACCCGTATCGTCATTTTTAAAAAGAGTTGATGTTAATGTTGGTAAAATTATATCTAAAAAAAAGATAAAAAAATTCAAGAAACAAAAGAAAAATCAAGAAACCAAGGAAGATAGCGATGATGAAATTCAAAAATCAATGGAAATATCACTTTTACGAAATGAAATAACAATTGATGATGATACACCATGTGAAATAGCATTTCAAAATGTTTCTCAATTGACATTAAAAATTTGTGAATCAAAATTTTCAATTAAACAAAATGTACCATGGATTGAAGTTATTTCATTGCCACAAAGTATTTTAGTTGGTTTTCCCACATATCCATCGAAATTTTTAACAAGTTTCACAAATATTCAAAATTCAAATTTTACATGGTATAAAAATTTATTATCAAGCACACCAAATAAACCACCTGTTTGGAAGGAAATAGGAAAAGGATATTTTTATATACCAAAATCAGATGATATGGGATATAAATTAAAAATGAGTTGTATACCTGGAAATGAAGAACAAATTGGACCATGTACAGAAATAGTGTCACCAAATTTAGTGGAGGCTGGTCCAGGTCGTTGTCCATTTGAAGATAGACATGAATTTGCAAAAAATAAATTAACTAACAACAGGTATAATAAATTCAAAATTTAAATCAAACGAACAATATTTAAGTTGAATTTTTTTTTCAGTTTTCGAGTAATGTCCTATAATATATTAGCTGATACTTATGCAGATTCGGATTATTCAAGGGGAGTTTTATTTCCCTATTGTCCACCTTATGCATTACATATAGACTATCGAAAACAATTAATTATTAAAGAAATAATAGGTTTGTATTTATAAATATATTGTTATCCTAAATTTTACTAAACTAATTCAAAATTTTTGTATTTTTAAAGGATTTAATTCAGACATAATATGCTTGCAAGAGGTTGATGAAAAAATTTACACTTCTGATTATGAGCCAACATTGTCAATTTTAAATTACGACAGTGTTTTTAATCGTAAAGGTGCCGAAGTTGTTGAAGGACTTTGCACATTTTATAATAAGAAAAAATTCGAAAAACTCGACTTTGATTCAGTTATTATAAGTCAAAATTTAGATTTAGAAAATTTTAAATCCACATGGGAGAAAATTGAAAATGAAAAAACAAAAATTCGATTCATGGAGAGAAATACATCAGTGCAAGTAAATTGATTTTTTTTTTTTGCCTATAGAATAATTAATTATTGAATTAATTCACAAGTTTTAATTTGTTAACAGGTGACAACGTTAAAATTCAAAGAAAATCCATCGGAAATTCTCATTGTTGGAAATACACATTTATACTTTCATCCAAATGCAGATCATATAAGATTATTGCAAGGTTTCTTTGCAGTAAAATATGTTGAACATATTGCCAATAAATTTAAAGAACAGGTACTTTCATTTTAATATCCTGGAATTTAATTTTTTTTCACATTAATTGAAATTATTAATTTAAATAATTATTTCAGAATCCAGATTTAAATGTTAATTTAATTTTATGCGGCGATTTTAATAGTATACCAGAATGTGGTATATATCAATTAATGACCACGGGATTTGTACCTAACGATTTTAAAGACTGGAATAGTTGTAAGTAATTTTAATGCCTAATTAATAATTTAATTTACTAATAAAAAAAAAAATACTTACTTTGCAGTTCCAGAGGAAGCGGTGACGAATATTTCACTATCGCAGAATATTCAATTTGCTAGCGCATGTGGCACTCCGGAATACACAAATTATACCGTCGATTTTTCCGATTGTTTAGATTATATTTTTTATCAAACGGAACGTCTCGAAGTAGAACAAGTTATTCCAATGCCAAGTAACGAAGAATTAGCGCTACACATTGCAATTCCTTCAGTTGTTTTTCCCAGTGATCACATTTCTTTATGCGCTGATTTAAAATTAAAAAATATTTAACACAATTCAGTAAATTTATATTACATATTTTAATAAAATTATAAATTTAACAACTTACCTTTATTTTCCCTTAAAAATTTAATTTACAGCAATATTTTCAATTATTTAAAAAAAAATTGTAATTTAATTGAACTAAATTATAAAAATAAATTTTCATAAATTATACAATAAAAAAATATTTAAATAATCAAAATTAAATCCTTTACTAGAAACAAAAAGGGCTCAAGGTTTTCTTAGTGAAAAACTCGATATATTCACATTAACATGATTTATAGAAGAATCAAAAGAATACATCCACGTTATCCGTGTTTTTTTTAAAAGATACATTACCTAAAGTAATTTTTCGTCTATTTTTATTCATTTACAAAAATTATATACAGTTTACTTCAGTACTTCGAGAACATATACGAGAGATCTGCAGATTTATTTTTAAATTTGGTTTTGAATTTTCTTTTAAATCAAAATTCAAATAAGTACACCATCTTTCAATATCGTGCACAAATTTAAATACAAAACAATGTATTTACATAAAAGTTTTATTTATTTTTATAAAATTCACTAAGTTAAGAAATAAATATAGAAAAAAAATAAAATTTCTAAAATTCAAATATACAAATCTTTGAAATATTCTCGAAATTATTATTCCTTTGATTAATCTTCAAAAAAAGTTTTTTCATTTCGAAATTATTTAAATTTCTTTTTTGCAGAAATAAATGACATTTCGTAAATCTAATTAAAATATAAAATTGAGCACCAATAAGAGTTTTTTTTTCTTATTTTTTTTATATTACAGACTTCATTTTTTTTTTTTTTTCAAAGTTTATTCTCGCAAATATATTTTAATCATAAAATGGCACAACAATTAAATAATTTCTTTTTCTGCAGACCTCAATTCTAATTCATCATCGTAGAAATGTAACAAAACTACGAACCATTTGTAATCTTACTTCTAAAAAAAAAAAAAAAAAAAAAAAAAAAAAAAAAAAAAAAAAAAGGAAAACAAAAAACTGTTATAGTCAACAAAAATTTCCAGTGCTTTTCAATGATATTAGCGGAAAAAAAAAGAAAGAAAAAATATTACACATAGTGTAATTTTTCAAAAAATAACACAAAAGAATCGTCATTTTTTCAGAGAGAAAGAAAAAAAAATAAATTTCACTATAAAATCGTGAGATACACGTTTTATGTGAAGTTTATAAATGGTGCGTTAATTTGTAAATAATCCTTTCGCTATAATGAATTTTGAAAATATTTACCATTTTTTTTTTTTTGAAGAAAAAAAAAAAAAAAAAAATAAATTAACACTAGAATTTTATTTTTAGAGTAGCGAAAGGAATATCAATGATTAGTCAAACTACGATAAATCACAGACGAGGTTATTTGTTTTTCTCTTTTTTTTATGATCATATACTACCTCGTCTCGGTGCACTGGGAACAAGTAATTGAAGAGCAGTCATTGCATCAGGGAATAGTGAATGATAGTTGACAACTGGTACATAAGCGGCAGTTATAACACGTCCAGCGAACCAACGACCATGCAATGAATTAACAGCAGCCACTGCCGTTGCAATCGATGGACATTTAACATAAACATTACCCTGAGCTGATGCCTGATCAACATAAACATGTAAAACTCCTCCGTGTTTGTTACATTCCTCAATTACATCGTCACGAATTTCCTTCGCCCATGTTGGATTTGTCTCACTAAAAAAAAAAAAGAAAAAGAGAATTGTTATTAAATTCAATTTTCCTTATCAAAAATACAATAAATTTTAAATTAAAATAACTGTTTATCATCAGAATATCATTTACAATGTTTCCGAGTAAAATCAATAATAATGACAATTAATCTGGCATATGTTTTCCCCCCGTATGAAAGTTGAAACTACTAACATCGGGTCTACAAATATGCCTCTTTTTTAAATTAAATTAAAAAAAAAAAGAACTTACTTTTGTGGATCGAACATATTTGAAAGCATGAAACACTGAGTAGCAATTGGTGGCGCGGCTTGTGGTGGAGGTTGTGGAGTTGACAGAGTTGGTGCCATATTTAAAGCATTAGCGGCAGCTTGTGGAATTTCTAGACCTGTTCCTTCTGCCAATTTGAACATTAACTGTAATCTTCCAGTAGCGCCTAAATCAATGCCACTTCGATCCAATTCATCCGTATCAAGAAGAGACGGGCCTTGCATCAAATCTGTCCTCTCCGTAACGTTGCCAACTTTCATCGGTCTACCAGCAAGTTCGAAACCATTCAATTGCTCCAAAGCTTTCTTTGCATCGTCCGAATTCCTAAACTGCAAAATAGAAAAAAAAAATTATTTCCTTTCCACATTTTTTTCTTTTTATTTTAAACTATATATACTCACAGTGAGAAAACCGTATCCTTTACTTCGTCCAGTTTCCGGATCCATTATAAGTTGAATATTGTCAATTTTTCCAAAAGGTTCAAAAATCCCACGCAACATATCTTCAGTTATATTAAAATGCAATGAACCAACGTATAATCGCATTGGACCAGTTTGTCCTTTTGGCATTAAATTAGGCATTGAATTTCCCATTCGATTTTTTTCCGCCTGCGTATGTTGAACAACAATTGGAACACCTAATAATTTTTGTCCCGACAATCCCAATGCCTAGGAAAGAGAAAACAAAAATAAAACAAACTCATTAATATAAATAATAAAATTAAAAATGGATTTCATAATCACCAGTGTAACACTTTCAGGATCCTTGAATTCAACATAAGAAATTCCTTTGAAACGTCTTGTTTTATTACAAGTAATAAGTCGCACATCTTGAACTTTACCAACACTTGAGAAAAATTCTTCTAAATCACGTGCTCTTATCCTTTGACTCAATTGCATGCAAAATACAGTTCTTGCGTCTCGTTCTTCTGGTGTTAATTCATCATTCCTTCTGTATAAAAAGAATATTGTAAAAAAACAAGATTGCAGCAGTAAAAAAAAAAAGATACTTACATTCCTAATGGACTGACACCTCTTCCAAATGGAGGACGAGCTCTGGGAAGTGTGATTGGTGTAAGTGATCTCTTTCTTCTTCTCTCTCGATCACGATCACGATCCCTTTCTTTTCTATCGCGATCCTTGTCATCTCTCTCTCGATCGCCACCACGTCTTTCACGTGATCGCGTTCTTCGTTTTCGATCCCTGTCATGATCACGAACACGTTCACGATCACGATCCCTATCTCTTTCACGATCTCGATCCCGATCTCTGTCCCTGTCTCTGTCTCGATCCCTTTCACGATCACGATCTCTGTCTCTGTCGCGATCTTTTCTATCTTTGTCCCGACGATCGCGAGACCTTGAACGACTCCTCGAACGATGTTTACTCTTTCTGAAAAATAAATAAATAGAAATTTGTTTTCTTTAATTAGAATTCCAATTATTATTATTTTTTTTATGACAAATGCTACTATTTAAAAAAAAAATGCAATAATAAATTTCCGTTTTTAAAAAAATGATCTCAACTATATATAACTAATTGTTATTATTAATTATACATAATTAGAAATTATAGAGAAGTTAAAAAAAAAAAATACTAAAAAAAAAATTTTTAACTTAGCGAATTCTCCTTACACGGTACTCATTCGAATGAATCGACGAACAATATTTGGGTATTTTTTTATAAATTAAATTATTCCAGGTTTTGTACAAGTATTCTGCCTATATACTCACCATATTGAGGTGTTTAACCTTTGGAATTATCAAAATAAGCGGCATTTACACTATTTGTATGGTGTCTATAACAAAGAGAATATAACTTCAAGTAGATGCCATAACTAAAAATTCAAGTACTGTTTTTTTTTTACCACAATAATTATCGTTTAAAAAAGCAGTTTCTTCTTTTTAATTACCAAGAAATGGACTTACCGAATTTTTAAACTTTGTATTTTAAGAGAAATTGCAAAAAAAAAAAATGAATTATTAAAATATAATAAGCTGAATACAAAATACAAAGCATGGCAGAGTACCGGTGATTTATCTTTAAAAAAAAAAATTGTTTAGGAAAACAAATTCTCAACAAATTACGAATAAAAATGTTTTTAAATTGTAATTGGAGCTCTCGCTTTAATAATTGTAAAATGTTTATCACCAGAACATTTACAGAAAAAAATAATCATGTAAAATAAGTAACGATGATATTTTTCCTCTAGCATATGTTTTCCCCCCGTATGAAAGTTGAAACTACTAACATCGGGTCTACAAATATGCAGAATTTTTTTTTTCTCAGCAAAAAATAAAAAAAATCGTAATTTGTTGATAGATTTCAGGAATTCTTCCACGGGAAAGTGAGTCAAAAAAAAAATTCTATATACAAATTGTATCGAAATGAAAAACAAATTAAATCATCATCTAAAAATAAATCCAAAGACAAAATTATTATTTTTTTTTTTTTTGTGGCCTTTGGAACTTGATGATTGATGAATGTTATAAAGAAAAAATTTACTCACCCAGATGTTTTGCGACTGGTTCCATTCTCCTTGGATGACTTGTCTTTGGAAGTAGTATCTTGCTCCTACGAACAGCCAAACAGTTGAATGCCATTGCCAAACAGCCAAGGTGTCGGGGACGCGCGAACAAGGGGACAAAAAGCAAATCATTCAAAGTTAATTAAATTGTAACAAAAAATATATCGAGAAAAAATTTGATTTTTTTTTTTTTTTTTTTTTTTAAGGCTCAAGAGTACAAAATGAAAATTTTTTTCTGGCATATTTAAACAAAAAAAAGAAATTATTGCACTCTCATCAATCGGCGACAACTCGAGGTTCCCATTGTGTGGTTGACATCTCAAAATTTCGAATCAGCTAGATTTTGAATTACGATTCGGGTAAGGGAGAGATGAATTGAGCTAAGGCGCATTATGCGACGCACAGCTCAAACTTACCAATTCTTTTTCTATCGCTTATCGGGTTTTAGGAAAGCATAGCAATCTCGGGTTGAGCATGCCTTGGTCTTAAATTCTACCAATGGCCAAATCACACAGCCTTTTTCTTCTGCAAAAGAGAGCCCTCGTCAAAGAATAGAACGTTTTCAAAGTAACACGAGATGGCCCTAAATCCTATCTCTAATCCTTGGACAATTTCCCCCTTTTTTTTTTACCTTAAACGTTGATTCTACTTTTATAAAAACAAAAAATCAATTCCGCAATTTTTTTTTTTTTATTCTTTCAACCCATTTTCTTTAAAAATTCTTAATTTTTAAACCCAAGGAAATTTTTTGTAAAATTTATTTCAAACATTTAATTAATCAAATTATTTCATAATTTTAAATTTACATTAAGAAACAAAGCAAATACAGGATTACCAATGATTAAAGTCATTAAAAGTACATTAACCAACATTTTTCTTTCCTCAATCAATGATAATCCTGGATAAAAATAAACCTAAAACTGCTTTCCAAGGATTTTCAAATATATTTAAAAAATAAAAAATAAACCTAAAACTGCTTTCCAAGGATTTTCAAATATATTTAAAAAAAAAAAAAAAATAGAAATATTTAACCATCGACCTAGTTGAATGTTCTAGCAAATGACTCTCACATGGAAAGTACGTACATTTTTTTTTATCTAAAAAAGAAAAAAAAATTCCTAACAATAATAACTTTCTCACGAATGGAAATATGTTGATAATGATATATGATGTCATTCGCAGTACCTCATATTTAAGTGCATTCTAGGAACTCGCTGTGGAACATCGTACGAGCGCGAGGGTACATGTTACGTATGATCTATAAGTACAGAAAATGGTGGTATTGATCAATAGGCAGTATGTAACAGAAGATACGAACTTTTTTTTTTTTTTATAGAATAAAGATGGACAACGCGATGAATGCCATTTTGTTTAAAACGACAAACACCGCAAGGCCCATGTTACAAAACTGCGACGATGAATTTCATCACCGAACACAAAAAAAAAAAACAAAATTAAAACAAAATATCAAAATTTAACTTACCCCTTTTCTATATGGCGCCTCCAGCATTGCCTCAACATCAAAATCTTCGGCCATTGTGTGTGGTGAACTTTCTGAAATGCCTCGCATTAGCACACGACAAATAACAAAAAATTACGAGCGTTTATTCGTTTAGATAATAATAAATTTTCTCACATACGATTATTTTTCGATTTTTTTTCTGAATTAACATAAAATATTATTTGCATTAGAAATAAATGATTTTTGTTTTCTTATTTATTAAATATATTAATTGTGGGAAAAAAAAACACTCACGTCCTTATTGCAGAAACGTTTTACCCGAAAATGGCGTCTTCAACACTCACATCAAAACCGGATATCACGTATCGATTGCGAAACAAAACAGCGCCACCTGCTTTTTTGTTTCGGAACTGAAAAATTTGAAATAACAGACAGCGATTGGTTTATTTTAAATAATGAAACTTTATCTACCAATCAAATTTAATTATAATTGTTGTAAGCATTTCATTTGTCAATTTAGAAGTGGGAGCAACATCCGGAATTCAATTATAAATATTTTCCATTGTTTATAATTTTTTTAATTGAAAACTTAAAAGAATTTATTTTCAACAAATGTGAATTTAATTTGATATCAAAAATTCTATTTAAAAAAAATTTTATTACCATTAATTCATTTTTGCTTTACTCTCTTCGGTAATTTGTCGAAAGATGACAGCAGCAGTAAGATTTTCAATTTTAAGTACATTTTTTTTTTTTTTTTTTTAATTACAAGAGAATTAATTTTAGAACATGATTTCACCACAAAAAAGAAAATTTATTTCTTTTTTCCAAAATATAAATACATTTACTAATTATCGAAAAAAAAGTAATCTTACAAAATTGAATATTTAAATAAAAGAAAAACAAACTACTTTCTGATTATATCGAGAAAAATTGACCCTAAAATTTATGTGGAAAAGTTTGGATAATTCTTTAAGGGGGGGTTTGAAAAAAAGAGAGCAGAGAATAATATATATATAAAAATGAAAGTTACCTTCGGGGAATAGAGCATTACTTGAAGAAAGGGAGAAAAAGTAAATCCGAAAAAATGCGTTGAGTAATTTTTTGGAATCGCCTCTCTCACTTGCCCTTTTTGTAAGTTCATCTACGCAGTATCTTGTTGTGACGGTTTCCACGTGTTGGCCTTAAAAGAATGTTTTTCGATGTTATCGTGATACGCCTGGATACGAGATAAATGTGTGTGTAAGTGTATATCGTCATAATATACCCCATGCGCATCCAAAGGAATCCATTAATCGTAGGGAATGTCCTTTTTAGGGGTGAAAATTTCAGAAGGGTAGCAAAAGATTCTACACGTGTCTTATATATATATATATATATATATATATATATATATATATATATAGAAAGGCGCGCCAACCCTCCTTTATTTCTTTCACATTTTTCCCCCTTGCGATTTTCCACAATATTCTCCTTCTTTGGTATCTTGGCATATAGGGTATAACCTAGTTTCGTAGCCAAAAAAAGAATTCCAAAACAGAAACAAACAAAATTAGATCTACTTTTGTAATAATAATAATAATAATAATAATAATAATAATAATAATAATAACAATAATAATTGTGAATAAACAAAATTTTACTCTTTTTTTCAAAATTAAAATTCTTTTTTTTCGAAACTAAACATTAAAAGATTATTTAGAAAATTAAATTTTTTATTACGTTTATATTTTCAAAGATAAATAAATTTTGTCTGTTAAAAATTTATAATAACTATACTTACATTTTCTTTAAGAAAAAATAATTGTTTGAAGCAATTTTCCAAATTTAAAGAAAGAGAAATTATAAAATTTCATTCGTTTTTAATGAAGGGTCAAGTATCTTTTAAAACCTTGGTCCTCTTTGAATTCCTTTTTAAGCTTAAGGTTCGTCGACCTGTCGCTGGTCAGTGCGGCAAAGAAATTCTCAGGCGAAGTTATGTTTACTGGCATGAAAAAAAAAAAAAATCAAAAATCAAAATTAGAAAAATTATTTTCAATTCTAATGTTAATTCAAAATTAATTTCAATTAAATGGAGAAAAAATATCTTCTGCAAATTTTGACAACAAAATAGAGAAATTAAATTTTTTAAAAATTTTCTCAAGTGTCACTTTTCATTAAAATAAGATATTATTTTTGATTTCAAAGAATAAAAACAAGAAAAAGAAACACGTCCCTTGAATCTCCAAACCCAGCTTTATCGATTTTCGGTAAACCCACTGCGTCCAGCGAAGACGTAGAAGATAAATGGCAGCAATTTTTTTTTTTTTTTTTTTTTTTTTACTATAACAGCTCAAAGAATTTCTTATACATCCTTATGCCGAAATCTGAAACAACGAAAAATTCTCAAAATCAATAAAACAAAAAAAAATATCATGTAATTTAAATAAAAATTATTAACGAAATTTGAAAAACTTGTCTGTGTGCGAAAAATTTAGATTACTAATAATAGAAAAAGGAATAAAGGACAATAATAACAAAATTTGTTAATTAACTGAAAATGTTTATTGATTTGTAGGACAAGTGACTGTGAAAGTCACAATTATATAGTGCACTTTACGAAAAATTAATAATAAATCATCAGTTTTTTTTTTCTTCTTTTTACCAAATAAATCATTGTACATTCCAACAGACAACCTCTCTTAAATTTAAATATATAATGCTTTCGAGACTATATACAAAAAAACAATGTAATAACAACACACAGTCACGACGAATCCCACTTTTTGGATATTGCGGATTTCATTTTTTTCACAATATAATAATAATAATAATAATAATATTAAATGTCTAGCTGTTACATGAACTTGTCTACATTTTTTTTTTAAATTTTCAAACTTGATTATAAACTTAAGACGTACAATGTAACATGCGTTTCACTTGATATTTAATTTATAAATAATATTTACATATGCACTCGTTCTTTTTTTTTCTTTTCACTCACACTGAGGTTGTTTTATAATATTTATTTTTTAACAATACGATATACAAATTTAATGGCAGGCGGTTTGTGTCATATTAGCGCTTGATTTTTTTTTTTTTTTTTTTTTCATTGATGTAAATGAATGAATGAGATGTTTCAAATATTTCATCTAGATATAACATGACAATATAATATGAAATGGATTTCGAACATCGTACCATAATGAAAAATAAAATTGAAATAAAAATTCTTTTAAAGAAATATTTTTAAAATAAGAAATTTTTTTTTTTTTTTTTTTTTAATAAAAGATTCAAAGTAAAACAAATCTTCATTTAATGAAGACTAAAAACAAAATATTAATCAAATTAGATTTGATAAAATTTTTTTTTTTTTTTTCATAAATAATCTGTAAATTTTTGAAATTTTTCAGAATAAATAAACTCTAAGAAAAAAATATTAGCAAAAATGTTTTTTTAAAAAGAAAAATTTTTGTAACTGATTTAAAACTCCATTCATAGATTTTTGTTTCTCTAAAAATGTTTTCAAATTACAGAACCTTGCTTCCTGGCGCATACAACATTTTCGATAATATTCTAAAAATTAATGGCTAAAAGAATAATAATAATAATAATATATATATATATTTATATAGAAAGCAGTGGAGAGGAATCTATTTGAAACTTTGGTGACTTTAACGCTCGTAAATGACGGAACGCCACGAAGCTCCCGCTCTGTAAAATCCAAATCCACCACCTAAATTTTTTTTAAGTTTCTTATTTATTCTATATCGAAAGCCAAATAACAGCGATAAACGATCAAATACTTTGACAAGACAATGACTTCTTATTATTATACGTATTCCGGTACGAGTGTTCGATTTATGAATTTTTAAATTCTTTGTCCACTTTTATTTTTTTCCAAAAAAAAAAAAAAAAAAAAATTATTCAGTGTAAATTAAATATCTATTTTCAAACAATTAAGTACAAAATTTCATCAATTCAATAAATAATTTTCTAATAAATAAAAACAAATTTTTTTAGATCAAATCCAGATAAAAAATTTGATTTTCAGTAAATTTTTTAAGTGACAAAAAAGTGGACAAGGGAAAAAATCGAAATAATGAATGAAAAATCGAATGGAATCGCATTATGAAGTGATAACTTTATAAGTAATCAGTTCTATGCGTTTTTTGCGGGGACAGGAATAATGTCACACCGCCGTGTACGCCTTAAAAATTAGATTATAGAATATTTTAAGAGAAATATAAATAATGTTATATATATATATATATACGCTATAATGCAACGATTAGAGCCCTTCGTATTTTTTTTTCTTTTTTCTTTCATTATAATATCGACTTTTGTGAAGAATCTATTTAGATTTTTAAAGTCTTAGAAATGCTTTTTTTTGCGGTTTCGAAATAAAATTTGTAATACACATTTAAAAAAAAAAAAAAAAAAAATTCGCTTTTTTAAAATGTAAATACTACAAATGAAAATAGATAATAATAACATATTAAAAATTAGAAATGTAGGTCGCGAAAAAAAAATGCTCTAAATAAAATGTGACCCGCGCGTATACGTTTACGCTAAACACTTTTTTTTTTTAAAAACTGGCAGTGGGCTCGCAGCTCCCTCTCACTTTACACACATGGAAAAAATTCGCAAAAATTTACAGAAATGAAAGAAATTTGAATTTTACCTCAAAAATTATTATTTTTCAAAAAAAAAAAGATTATTTTTTTTAGTGTACTTTTCGTAAAAATTTACATTTTGGAAATTTAATTTTTCTTTTTTTAAAGAAAACACTATACGAAACTTTTTTTTCTTTCGTAAAATAAAAATATGTTTCTGTAAATTTTGTACGAATTTAAAAAAAAAATTCTTATCACAGAGATATTAATTGTTTGGTAGTTTTTAAAGTCTTTAATGATCGCTCGCTCAATTATTGAGCTTTTTGAATATGGGAAAAGTGATCGACGAAATAAATAAAGCATTGCTAAACACCGGTTTTTTAAAATTTAAAAAAAAAAAAAAATCGGAAAAAAAATTAATTATTTCCTTGGCTTTTCTAAAAATTGTGAATGACTATGAGGCGCGAGCAAATTGAATGACAGAATTTTGTCTCTGTGCATTAATACCAGAACGTTCGTGTTCCATTGATTCGAGAATCATTTTACAACGTTTACGCGGTGGGAGAATGAGTGTTTCTTTTACGGGTATAACGAGATCAAGTGGATCTGGTGATGGTGCTGGACTCACGGGATTACTGCTTGGCGGTGTGAGAATTGGATGTTTCTCAACATTTATACCACATTCACGTTGACGTTGTTCCTCGACTGCTTCAAGGGCAGCTTCAACTCTTCGACGTGCATCATTACCGGGTAAATTGAGTATCGATTCATTTTCAGTCAATGAATCACTACTCGGTCCACTGTACGATGAATAAGGTGAATAGGCAGGCGATAATTCGGGATAGAGAAAAACTTGCGTTGATGGCTCCTGAAAGGATCGTTCCTCAACGGCAGCGGCTGCCGCTGCGGCTAATAATGCTGGATTCACTCCTCCAATTGGCTGTGAATACTGATCCCTTTGATAAACATAATAGGAGAAATCCCTTCCTGTATTATTGTAACTTTGTTCTTGTTCCTCAGTCTTATTCTCCTTATTGGGAGCAATTTCTTGTTCTTGATTTGTTGGAACCGAATCGGAATGAACTTTAATGTGAGCTTCCATATTTTTTTTATTCGTAAATGTCTCATTGCAGAGTGTGCATTTATAGACTTTTGCACCATAATGATTGACTTGATGAAGTTTTAAAACGTGATTATAGCCAAATGATTTGCCGCATACTTCGCATTTATAGGGTTTTTCCCCAGTGTGAGTTCGTGTATGAACTTTGAGTTGTTTTGAGCATGTAAATCCTTTGCCGCATGATTTACATACATATGGTTTTTCACCCGTGTGCGTACGCATGTGAATAACAAGTTGACCACTTTGAATGAATGTTTTTTCACAAACTGAACATTTGTGTGGACGTTCACCGGTGTGAATTCGCATGTGCCTGTGAAGTTTGCCACTATGCTCAAATGCTCTTTCGCAAACGTCACATTTATAAGGACGCTCATTGGTGTGAATACGTCGATGAACACTTAGATTTTCCTTAACCGAAAATGCTTTATTGCAATATTCACATTGATAGGGTTTTTCACCGGTATGAGTACGATAATGCCTTGTGAGTCGTGCTGGTACGGCAAATGTTTTACTGCAAATATTACACCTGTATGGATCCTCGCCCTCTTTGCCATGAGTTCTCAGGTGACTTTGGTAAACGTTTTTTTGATCGAATATTTTTTGACACAACATACATTGATAGGGCTTTTCATTGTGTGTTGTTAAACGTTCAGCGGCAGGTGATGTGAACGCTGACAAGTCAGGACTGCACACAAGACTTTTTACTGGTTTTATTGGTTCCAATTTTGAAGCGACAATTGCCACTGGCTTTGGCGTTGTTTCACGCTTTAATATTGTCTCCGATTGATGATAGTAGCCTACCATTCTCGATGAGAAGATATTATCTGAAATAATATAATTTTTCAAGTTAATAAAAATCATCTTTTTTAAATTTATATTTTTTATTTTGACAAATTAAAAATTATACCGAGGGTAGAATTCATAATTTCTAAATATGAATATCAAGAATAGAGGCTAACAAAAGTTTGTCCCGGTGCACTATGAAATGCGTCGTACGTTTTTGTTGATTACGCACCGACCTGAATCTCAAACGTATTGCAGACACTATTTCCCCCTCAATCTTGTTTTTTTTTTAACCCAAAACCGCCCACCCTTCGCGCGAGCGCAGACTTCCACTTTTGACCCTCTTCAATAGATATAACTTTTTCCTCTGCCAATTTAGGGTAAAAGTTATAATACTCCAAAAAACTACTTCCTTGCAAGGGTGCGTAAAATCACTCGTAAATTTTATTCATATTCCCCCCAAAAAAAATCCATATTCTAAAGATTAGCCAAAAAATTTGTAAGAATTTTTTGTAAACAATACAGAATGTGGTACGAAATAGGTCAGCGACCTGTTTCTTTAAAGAGCACGCGTCGCGTTAATAGCAATTTTTTAAAAAAATTTTTATTACAAAAACTTCTTTAAAATTTTGCATAGTAAAAAAAAAAAAATTGTCATAATAGTTCTCGGACGAAGAAACTTGTCGGAGATTAACTATCACTTAAAAACTCCAACTCAGCGCAATTTCAACTCAGAAATAAAAAAAGAAAAAAAAAATCGCAAAAGTGCTGATTTTCAAAATTCCTCAATAGAAAAATTTCTGCAAGTACTAATTTCTACAAAGGTAATAAAAAAAATTGTTTTTTTTTTTTTTTTTTTAAATAAATGAGAGGAAAAAACATACCCTTTTGAAATTATATCGATATGAATAAATTTTTTTTTTTTTTTTAAACAAAAAATTGTAAAATTAATTGAATATAGAGACAATTAGCCACACGTAGAGTATTGTGTCGATGAGACTCGTGTGTGTATAAAAGAACAAATACGGTCGTGAAAGTCGCAACGACGTTATTACTGAGGCTACACGCGCGTCGTTATTCGCGATGAGGCAGTCGACGATGAGATGGCAGCCAATGCATTAAGCTCTTGTTGAGAAACCATGATCGGCTGCCTCCACGTGTACTCGCCACATTTTTTTATAGCGATCACCGACCTCGTGCAACTCAACCCGCGGTAAGGACGTCGAGTTACATCACAAGAATATATGAGTACCTCTAGCGGTTTCTCTAGGCAAATTTACAATAGTATACACATTTTTTTAAAAAATTAAATATCGATTGTTTTTTTTTTTTTTTTTTTAAATTTATAATCAGAATTAAAAAAAATATTGATCCCATAGAGCGGACACCTACAAAACGGTTTCTCTCTCTGTATCAAGGAACCCCTCATATATTCCGAGGGGTAAACTTGGCCTGCGCTAAAACTGATGCGCAACTTATCTTAAAGACATCGTCTCTCTAATAATACGCCCTAATCTCCAAAAAAAAAAAAAAAATCCTAATATCAAATATTGCACTCGATTTTTCTTTCGCTCATGATTAACGGTTTTTTACAAAAAATTTCGGTTTTTTTCGCATTTTTGAAATTCAGCCTCTATTATTGATATTTTTTTTTATCAAATTTTAAAAGTGCAAATTGAAGAACAAAATATTTTAAAATCGACGTAAATAAACGAATATTTACAAAAAAATAAATAAAATGGAAAACAATTATATTTTACAAAAATATTACACTATTGAATATTAAAAAATTTGTTTTTGGAGTAAACTATTTTTTACACTTTATAAATACTTGTAAAATTAAAAAAAATGTCAGTTGTTTATCAAAAACTATTTTTTGGAGTAAATTTTTGAATTTATCGTAATTTTTTCTCTTTCTTGTAAAAAAATATTATTTCTGTTTTGATTAATGAAAAAATTAAATAATTTCGCCTTCAAACGTTCCACGGATATATTTTCCGTTTGAAAATACGAAACATAAAAATACAATTATTAAAAAAAAAAAAAAATTTGTTGTCAAACTCACCAATTGTTTAGAAAAAATATTTGACAGTTCTCCTCCGGTTACACACTATAAATAGGCAGTTCACAAAATTGTTTTAAATCAGTGGTCCATTTGAAATTTTAACACTTTTTTGTTCTTCTTTTTTTTTTTTTTTAGTAAACTAATGTCACATTGAATTTCTTGTTAGCATGGTCGCGGTTGTTATAATTCACTTGTATCCACAACGAGATTTAACGTGTATATATTTTGTTGTATATTATAGTAAAAGGCGACGAAATCCGAAGGACCCGCCTCGGGACAACCAATCATACTGTGTAATGTTTACCTCCTACTCGATACGAGTTGATACGAGAATCGTCGAATGAAACCGAACAAAACTCGTCGTTGTCGAATGGCAAAGTCAGGGGCGACGAGCAAGAGATCACCCCTCTCCAAAAAACCTTAAACTCTCCCTCCACCTTACAAACGCAATGACGACCTACAATTTGGGGCGCCCAAATGTTCCCTGAACGGCACGTGGAGGTTGCCGACGTGGTTTCTTCACATCGACGGCGCGCGTGCGATGATACACACAAGGGCGAGAGAGAACACGACAATATCCACCACCGACAAAGACAAATGTCACACCAGAGTCTCTCAAATTGCCCTTTATTATTGTATAGCCTCGCTTGATTTTTTTTTTGCAAAATTAAAAATTTAATAATTATTAAATATTAGCAAAAAAAAAAAAAAAATAATTTCAAATTCCATTGGATTTTAAACAGGGAATAAATTTTTTGCAAATTTTATAAGAATTTTCTTTCGGCAGAATATTTATATTTGATATTATTTTATTTTTCCAGTAAATTGTATAAAACCCAATTTTTTTGCTAATTTTCTACTGTAAATTTTGCCCGCGAATTTTTATTTACAAAAAGAATTTAAAAATTAGCAATTTTCTTTTGGCTTTTCTATATATTTTATATTTATTCTATTTTTGGATTGGATTTTCAATTCGATTTTAAACAGCGAATTTTTTTTTTTGCTAATTTTCTACTGTAAATTTTTCCCGCGAATTTTTATTTACAAAAAGAATTTAAAAATTAGCAAATTTTCTTTTGACTTTTCTATATATATTTTATATTTATTCTATTTTTGGATTGGATTTTCAATTCGATTTTAAACAGCGAATTTTTTTTTTTGCGAATTTCCTACTGTACGTTTTGCTCGCAAATTTTTATTTAAGTATTTTATCTGATTGGACAGAATTTTTATTTGACATTTAAAAAAAATTACTAAATAAAAAATTTAACTAAGTAAAAGAAAGTTTTTTACTAAAAGTAAAAATTAAAGGACATTTTTTCTGTTATTCAATTATTTTGAATCACTATTGTTTGAGAATGATTCTAAGAGGTCAATAATCCCTATATAAATTTTGGTTTTTTTTTCTCTTAAATATGGTGAATGATTTAAAAGAATCTGCATACAATGACAGGATTTGATGATTGATGAAAAATCAAAAAATTTTTTTTTTTTTAAAATTAAAGAATACAACATTCGGAGCCTGATTGAGAGACTCTGGAGGGTAGAAGTGAACCAAATGGAGGGAGAGCCAAGTGCGGCAAGTTGATGAGAGAAAGAGAAAAAGGTATAGCCGATATCGAGGTAAGAGAAAAAGAGAAGGAAACAAACCGATAGTGAGGGAAGAGTTGATGGAGAAAAACAGAGCGTGACAGAGAGGAAAAGAATGTTTTTTTGGAGAGAGTGCTGCAGAGAGAACGTGGTGACCTACGAAGTCGACTTTGCGCGTGCATTTCACCGACACACAAATATATGTATGTATATGGCTTATAATGATTGTCTTGTATATCAAGTAAAGCCTCGCTATCACTGACAACAAGTTTCTCTGTATTAGTTCCACACGTGTATATACGTATATATACTCACATTATTCACACATATAAGTATCATTTTCTCCTTTCACCGTATGCGCGCCTTCAAAATCCGCCTCGTGCTTTTCCAGTTCTGACGTTCCCGACGATGATCACTTGACGCTCTAAGACAATGACGATAAGAAATATTAGTTTGATAAAAAAAAATGATAATTTTCATATCTCTACACCCAATATTACGATGTCTTATCACATCGAAAATGATTAGTCTGCAAATGTTAGTTCAATTAATTTAATATTAAAAACACCAAAAAAAATTGACAATTAAAATAATTTAAAAATTTTTTCAGATTTTAAACTCCAGATTTTCTAAATAACAAAAAATTGGAAAAAATATCGAGAAAAAAAAATGATTTCACGAAAGATAATTGTAAACAATAATAATGTAAATTATTAAGAAATAATGACTTACATGATAAATTTTCCTTGTTTAAAGTTCAGGGTTCATGCGGTAAATTTCCAAAAAAGACTTCCGCCTTTTGTCAATTAAATCATCGGCAAAACTTTTAATTTCCCTTCTCAATTCTGAAATCAGAAAAAAAAATTGTAAATCTCAATTTTCCAACAACAAAGTAGTGCATTCAACCCGCATTTATGAGGAAAAAAAATACCGTTTTGATATAAAAAAAAATGTTTTTGAAAAATTGTTTTCCTTGCAAAAATATGTTACACACATGTTTTATATATAGAAAGAACATAAATAAGTAATCTATCATTTGATGATTATAGAAAAAAAAGGAAGGAGAAAAAAAATATTTCTATATAAGACGTAGAAAAGTGGTACAAATCACGAAGTAGTAACGACCTTCGATTCTTTCAGTAACACAGTTACGTGTTAAACAGACGAATATTTCTTCCGCACGAAGTAGTAAACATTGATGACATCATCTTTTTTAAGTAGAGAAATACCTTTTCGTAGAGACCAGATAATATACATGTTATAAGTACTACGTCTCTCTTTCTCTCTCTTTTTGTAATTCAAATCTAAATTGATTAGAAAAACAACAACCCATTTAAATCATTTATGAATGAAATATTTCTATTTTTTTTTATTTAAACTCCTTTATGATTAAAAATAAATAATTTGTAAAAATATTTTAACATTCATTCATTGAAAAAAAAAAATAGTAACATTTGTATTATAATAATGATAAAAATTAATATTTTTCTATGGTTAAAAACTACAGGTGTATTTTTCACATTCATAAAAATTTAAGATATTTACAACAAAAATAAAAAAACTAAAGATAAGATAATATAGAAACATCCACGTGAAACAATAATTACAGTTCTAATCTATTTAACATTATTTATGGTAAAAATTTTAAAAATAACTATACATTCTCCAAAATTTCAAAATATTAAATTTTTTATTTTATTCTGTAATAGAGAAATATTATTAATGTCAAAGAAAATCAATAACAGTGATTGAAACAATATTATATATGTATTATCTGTTCTCGTCAGTTTAATTATTATATCACAGGAAGTTTGATAAAGTCATTAAAAAGTAATACATAAATCTTCATCAAAACAAATATTTTTCTTGAATTAAACATTATTTTTCCATCAATGACAAAAAAAAATCTATTTTGAGAGAAAAAAAACTCCAAAAGCGTTTTTCAATATTTTAATTGTAAAAATTATTTCTAAAATTTTCTATTATTTTTTTTCAAGATCAAAATTTAAATTTATGTAATAATTTGAGCAAAAAATTAAATTACCGGTTCTTTTTAATGAATCAATTTATCTATTTTTAGAAACCATTTTTTCTGCGAGACAATGCAAATTTGTTTTTAAATAAAAATGGAACAAAATTTGACGGGGTGATTTTTTTTTAAAGACCATGCGCGCAATGCTTGGGGAAGGCTACGAAATTTCGTGATCCAGCGAACATGTTCAGTGGTGTGTGTGTGTGTAACAATATTATAACAGGGAGTACAGAGCAATGACCCAGTGCGTATGTTGCACGTGTAAGGCAAGAAACCACGACTGCAGCCTCAGAACAGAACATTGGACGCTGCGTGCGATGGTCACGATACATATAATACATATATATACCTCTTTTTTTTCCTTTCAATACAACATACATACAATGAAAAACCTCAAGGCAAAATATGTAAAACGAAGTACTTTTTTTTTCCCTACCAATTTTCTAATCAATAAACAAACAAACAGTTCTAGACAATAAAATATCGATTACAAAAAAGAGAAAAATTTATTCTAATTTAAATTCAGGCCACTAAGAGAAATTATAAAAAAATTATTACATTTTTTAATTAGCAGTTATTTTTCGAATCAAAATTAATTTTTCTTTCTTTTTTTTCTATACTTTCATGACTCAGCAAAAACCCAATTCCCAAATCTCTCTCGACATCTTGCGTGTGTTTTCGAGGTTTATACTTTTGTTTTCTCAATATTAATTTCCCGCAGTCACCCAGAATAAATGTTCAAAATGCCTCAATATTCCCGGAAACTGATAAAATTTAAGGTAAACAAGCTGCAAATTATATCATATATTTGTAAAAGTACTGAGAAAAAAAAGAAACGAAAACAGGAATTATATTATAATTGACTATATATGTAATCAAAACAAGAAAATCTTGATTTTAAACGATTGAATTAACATCGCATTTGATACATTTTATCGCTTTTTTTAGGCTCAGCGAAAAATTTTATCAGAGAGCCCGATAAACGGAGAGGGCAATTTTGTACCAAAAAAAAAAAAAAAATATGAATGCCTTTCGATCGCAGTAAAATTAAAATTACCGTTTACTTAATTTTATATTACTTTTTAAATAACTTAATTTAAAACTACTCTTTTTATTTTTTATTGAAAAAAAATTAATTAAAAAAAATTTTTTTTATTAAATTATTAATTTAAAATTAAATATAGAATTATTTTTTTACAAAAAAAAAGAGAAACAAATAACAGAAACGGGCCGAGAAATGGAAAATTTCCAATAATAAATTCCTGTACATTCTCGCGCGGCAGAAAATTGTGTATCAGGTGTAAAATTTTTGCCGATGCAATTGGAGTACTGAAGAAGAGTTATATTTCAGGTGATCCATTCTAACTTGAAAGCTGAGCAAGACAAAGAGAATTCAACACTACTGGAATAGCCCTATATATACATGCGCAATACCAAAGAGACGATCCTTTAGAGAAAGAGAGAGAGAGAGGCCTGAGACAATCAATACTGTATCTTTCCCCAAAAAAGAATTCATCAAACGCATTATCTTCTCAGGACTTTCGGGTTTAAAAAAAAAAAACAGAAATAGAAAACAATTTTAACTCTAATCCTAACTTATTTGAAGTGAATTCTCCATCAAACATCGTGAGAAATATATCAATACATCCGAAATTTTTTTATCCGAATTAATTTCAATTCAAGAATTTTATAACAATTTAATTAAATTAACCATTTTTTTCAAATTGGGATTATTTTTTTAAAAAAATTCACTTTAAAATGAATTAACTATTTAATTAATTAATTAATTGTTCAGATAAATAAAAATTCGAATCAATACAAATTCGGACAAATAGAACTTTGAACAAATTAAAATTTAGATGACAAATAAACACATAAATTTCGGACAAATAAAAATTCCGATCAATAAAAATTCTGAGCAAATTGAATTTCAATCCAATGAAAATTCGGATCAATAAAAATTCTGAGCAAATTGAATTTCAACCAAATGAAAATTCGGAAATTAAAAAAATGAAAAATTTGAATCAATAAAAATTTGTACAAATAGAAATTCTGTCAAATAAAAATTCTTACAATTAAAATTTCGGGCAAATTAATATTCGAATCAATAATAATTCAGCTAAATAAAAAATTTGAATGAATAAAAATTCGTGCAAATAGAATTTCGGTCAAATAAAAATTCTTACAATTAAAATTTCGGGCAAATTAATATTCGAATCAATAATAATTCAGCGAAATGAAAAATTTGAATCAATTAAAAATGTGTACAAATGAAAATTCAAATTAATAAAAATTCAAATAGAATTTTGTCCAAATGAATAAAATCAGATGTCAATGAATTATAATGAAGGAAAATAAAATGCGATCCAATAAGTTCATTGATCAATAATTGAATCATGAATTTAGTGAATAAAAACTAAAATTAATTTTGTATTCAGTGGACATAATATATACAATTTTTTTTTTATTTTCTTATTCGAGAGGGGAATTCTGTCTAATATGTATGTGATCACGAAGAAGAATAATCGAGCTCGTGTATATAGAAACTCTGTTGAAGTTAGAGTCGGAGGAAACAACGAGGGGGGAGAGAGAAGAGGTAGAGAATGACGCATGGAGTGGGGTTCTGTCTAGAGCGGTGTCGTACCTTGACCAATCTCAACGCGACTTGTTTTAAGCTATACACTATGCCGCAACGACCTTAGAAGTCGCAATCATGATGAAACTGAAATGGCAAAGGGAAAATAACAGAGTGGACACAAGATTGTGTTATTCACACACATTCTCTCTACTGTCATCGTTTACTCCTTTCATTCGAATTGTATTTTTATATATTAATAAATTACCTTCTTCACACACTGATATAAATATACAAAATATTCAGGAAAACCCACATTCAATTTTTGTTGTTGTGAAATCAGTATTCTGGGAAAAAGATAATACATATGTTGTTAACCTCTGCTCGAAAATATTAATCGAAATTGTTTTGAAAACAATTTTTATTTGTTATTTTGTTTCAGACTATTGATTAATTTTTTTTTTGATAAAATCAGGAATTACTGTTTTGCAAACAATAATATGTATATATAATTATTTTTCGTTATATTTTTGATAGAAAATTTGAAATTTATTTCTTTTGGGAATTTTCGATTGTTTTTTAAATCTAAATTTTAATTATTTAGTTTTATATTTAAAAATTATTTCAAACTATTTTAATAGTATTTAAAATCTTGATTGTTTTGTCCTTTTTAAAAGCGTATTGATATACGTCGTTATAAATGATAAGTGCGTTTGAATAATCACACTTCACTCACCCTTCTCATCAAATGCAGAACTAGTTGGGCGATCTTCCCTTCCCTCTAAATGTTGACCTACTTCTTGGACCCTTTATTTGATGTTAGTTGTTAGTCACACTATTCTCGTCGAACGCAGGACTTTTTTTTCTTTCCTTCCAAAAAGGCATGAATATTTTGCAATCTCCAAAGTCATTAGAAATGCTGAAAGAAATCAAATCATAAATAAAACTATCCCTTACAAAACATGAAAAATAATTTGAATTATAATATATTAAAAAAATATAGTTTAAATTGACAATAGAATAATTTAGAGTGAAATTTTCAATTTCTTTGCAAATTAGAAGAAAAAAATAGATTTAAAATATTCAATTACTATATGAAATTTCTACTTTCCTAAAAAATTTCTTGTTTCTTGACCATCTGAATTAAAAACAATGTTCATGAATCCTTTCATCATCGTGAAACGAGAAATTGTATCCCGAATCCAAAAGCGTATTTTAATTCTGGAATGTAGGTCGTTACAGAAGTAAATATAATCAGTCACCAGAGCTATCTTCGTATGCGTATAGACAGTCCATATTTTCCAGATTATCAAAAAAGATAAAAAATAATATATTTTTTGAAAATTCTATTTCCAATTCCTGCGAAAAAAAAAAATATAAAATCAAAAGTTTGGAAAAATCATAAAAACTCATTTAAAATTCAAATAAATTTTTAACATTTTTTTTTTTTTAATTTTCATCTGATGTGTATTTTTTAAATATATGTTCTATTCTGTTTTGTCGACATTTTATGATAATAACTAATACATATATACATAAAAATCTTGTAAGTTTTATCAGGCTTTATGAAGCGCGTGTATTCTGATCTATCTGGGATAGGGATTAAAATACTCGGGCTTTCATCAATGAGTAAGGGGAGGGGAAAAAAAAAGTGTTGTGAAGATTCGAGGTGGGTGACGCGAAATCTCAATATACATGTAAAGAGAGCCGCACGCGTAGCTGGTTATACTGTAAGTTAAAAAAAGGCCACTGACCGAGTACCACGTGTAACTGCAGCTATATATTCTATACTATATACCAAGCACAGTGCATTGGACATTGCCCAAGGACGTATTTATCATTGTGCACAAAAATTTTCTATATAATAAAACTTTCTCCATTTTTCAAAACTCCCTTTTCCTGGCCCTTACGTAACCTTTCAAACAATAAACATACCAAAAACTAGACCTAAACATTAATTCAAATATTGCTCCCCTCTTCATTCATTCTATTCAATATTCCCTTTGTAAAAAAATCCTTTTCATTATCCTATTACAACGTTGTTAATTCGAAATGAATTTATTTAAATATTCTATTCACCAAAATAAATATATGCATTTCAATTTTGGCTGATGAAATTGAAGATTTTTTTTTTATATTTAAAAAACAAATTCAAGTTGAAAAAATAAATGAAAGTTATCAAAAACAAAAAAAAAAGAAATTAAATGATGCAACAAAAAAAAAGTCCTAGTGTAACTATAATAACTATTATAGTATGAGAATGCAGGAAATTATGTAAGTCTTTAAAAAAGGTTCAACTTAATATATCCTCGAATAAGCTTCTCTTAAGAACAAAAAAAGGAAAAAAAAAATATTAAGAATTGAGGCCCTAACGTTTCGAATGTACAGTATAAGGCCTCGGTCATCGAACTCGTTTGACTCCTAAAAATGTGGCCCTTGCGTTCTCAACAAATATCTCAAGCTTCAAAGTAACAAAAATTATCAGATATACTCAAATATAATTTACGAAAAACAGTTTCGTTTTTTTTTTTTTTTTGAAAAAAAAGATTTTCTCCCTAAAATAATGATTGATTAAATATTTTCTTCTACTTCACAATTTTTAGCGCTTACTTTTTAATTTTGAAATTAATTCCTTCCTGATGATGAAAAAAAGTGTCCTTGGAATATCTGAAATTCAAAGAAAAATAATTATAATATATAAATTCAATTAAAAATTGGAAAAATTCCGACCAAGGTGATGTCATGACGCCATGGGTATAAATACAAATTTTTTTTTTTCCTTTGTTCCAAAAAATATGTATAAACAATTAAAATGAATATATTCTGATTATAAGTTAATGAAAAGTAGGTAGAAAACCGGATATAAAAGAAAAAAAAACCGAAAAAATGAATAATAAAACAAAACCTAACCTAAAAATTCCAAATCTTAGAATTTTAGAATATATTTTCTCAAAAAAACTTTTGCAATGAATTTTTTCTATGCTCAACACGTATATTTACATAAATATCACAATTATTTACTGTTTTCAACATGTTTTAGTTGAAGTAATTAAAAAAAATGTGCAACTAAAAAAAAAACTGTGGAAAACACAAGAAGACAAGAACAAAGAACAATTTTGGCGGGAATAGAAAGGAAATTGGTGGACAATTTGAAAACTACTTACTAGTAATGTGGATAAAGAAGAACTTTCCATCTGCAGATAAAATATAATTTAAGATCAGTTGATAATGCAGAGTACGGAAACTCTATTATGTCGGGTCGGAAGCAGGGTTGCACAGTGACGCGTCACTCGAGGTTTTTGACGTATATTACGTAAAAAATGTAATATACGTAAAAAACCTGTAATAAATGTAAAAAAATATGGCGGCGGTCTGGCGATCAATAAAAAATATGTAAACAAATATTAGTATCACAGAAAAGCAACAAATTAATTATTTTAAAACTTTTAAAAAATAAGTATATGGATATGAATCCACAAAATCGAAAACGCCAAGCAATTCCTTGGCAAAGTTTAAAATTTTCACGCTTGAAAACTGATGAAAAAGGAGTATTTGTCATAGTTCTCTTGCACCCAGGACAAAATGCTGCATTTTTCCCATCGAGTTTCACCAAAACATACGACAATTCCTTCCAAAAAGAATTTCGCGGCCTTCCACCTCTACGCATTTTATTTTTCGCAATTTGCAATTGTGCCACTCAATTTTATTTTCAGGATCACGGAGTTTAAGCGGCCATTTTGAAAAAGTAAATTACGTAAAAAACTAAGCACGTAAATTACATACGTAATATACATGTAAAAAACCATGTAATTTACGTCAAGTATATTACGTACGCAACCCTGGTCGGAAGTGAAACGTTTTGGCGTGATCAGACCGGCCCAAAGTTTTTAAAAGAATAATATTCTTAAATCTAAGAATATTTATTAATTTTTTAAATTAAAAACCAAAAAAGAAGAAACCGCAAAAATGGTAAGTTATTATTTTTCTCTAATATAGTTACAAAAACAGTGAAAACATTAATGATCTTTTGGCGTCTTTGACATAACCTATAAATTTTGACATCGTTTTTATCAATTTTATGTATATATACACAAAATTTACTTTATTTTTAATAGTAAAATATTATTTACAAATTTGCAGGATAATAATTGTAAAAGAAATTTTATTTTTGTCCGTAATGCGATAATTTTTTTTTTAAAGAATAAGGTTAGGATGCTACGTTTATAATATCTAAAAAAAATGGCATAGCAAAAAGAAAATGGAAAAATTAAATTTATTATAAATACCTTAATTGAAATTATTTTTAGACGATCGGAAAGAATAATAAGATGCTGCAGCACATCAACTATAGAGTGCGAATTATCCTACAAGATTCTCGTACTTTCATTGGAACATTCAAAGCTTTTGACAAGCATATGAATTTAATTCTTGGTGATTGTGAGGAATTTCGTAAAATCAAACCAAAAAATACCAAACAACCGGAAAGAGAGGAGAAGCGTGTTCTTGGTTTTGTTTTATTACGTGGGGAGAATATTGTCTCGTTAACTGTTGAAGGACCACCTCCTCCCGAAGAAGGTTTACCAAGAGTACCAATTCCAGGCGCTGCACCTGGACCAGGAATGGGAAGAGCCGCTGGTCGTGGAATGCCAGCAAATGTCGCTGGTATACCAGCTGGATTACAGGGACCGGTACGTGGTGTTGGCGGTCCTTCACAACAAATAATGACACCCGGTGGTAGAGGACAAGTGTCAGCACCACCACAAATGCATCCTGGTGCTCCTCCACGAATGCCAGTCGGTGGACCACCACCTGGAATGATGGGACCTCCACCCGGCATGATGGGTAAGTTTATTGCTTAAAGAAAAAAAATTTTTTTATTCTAAAACAAAAATTAATTAATTTTTTTGAAATCATTTTAAAAATTATTTCAATTTTTTAACAGGTATGCCACCAGGAATGCCTCCAATGGGTCGAGGTGGACCTCCAATGGGTCCTCCAATGAGAGGACCACCACCTGGAATGATGCGCGGTGGACCACCTCCAAGACCTTATTAATTGTAATTATCAACCATTTTTTTTTTTTTCACTCTTCAAACCAATAAATCAGAATCTTAATTAAGAATAATATTGATAAAAAAAATTATTTATACAAAGCAACAATTTTTATTTTCACACTAAATTAATAAATCCAAAATTTGTTACATTTTCACAATGTATAATTAAAATTTATATACAACATATGGATGTTTAAAGAATGTACAATTCCAAAAAAAAAAAGAAAAAAAAAGTGGGACAAAGATTTTTCTAACATAACACAGATGCTATACATTAATTTTAAATATTAGTCGATTTTGATTTTATCAAAATATTTTTCATAAATTTTTTGATAGTTTTTTTTTTCATTAGGAAATTAAGATTGTATTCAATAAACTCTGTTTTAGAACGAAAAAACAAAAAATTGGGAAAATTATTTTTAATTTATAAAAAAGGGACTTTACAATTTTTTGTTGATAAACTTTTTCTCTAAATTTGAATTTTTTTTAAAATGATTTTATTTACAGGAAATATTTCGATTAAAATTTTTTTTTTTTTACAGAACTTGTACTAAGTTTTCTTTTTATGTTCAGTGTTTTACAGAGTATTTATACAAATCCCTTTGAGTTATCTGAAAAATGTAACTCGAGATTTTTTTTTTATAGAAAAAAAGCTTATTCAGTCTCTTTTTTTTATTGAATAAATAACAACTATTAAGTATATCAATTAACCCATTGCAACAAAAAAAAATTTCAATTATTATGCATTAAAAACGTTAAATTTTATTTGACTCCGGTGTCTCAATAAAGAAACCAAAATGAATATTTTGGCACGTTACTATTTTTTCATAATATCAGGCAAATTGTAAAAAAATGTCATTAAAATGATAAATTGTTTCCAAAAACATATAAAAAATATTTGCGAAAAAAACTTACAAATATTAAATATATAGTCATCTCAAAAAATGTTTAAAACTATTTTTTTTTTTTTAATAAACTGATCGTGTATAAAAATAATTAATTTTGTTTTAAAATTAATTAATATTAATTTTTCTTTTTTTTACTTCCAATTAGTGAGACATTTCTATCTAAAATTTATTGGGAAATTTTTCTAAAAGAAACTAAAATCATATTTTATAAAATTAAGAATTGATCAGTTTATCTAATTTTTCCACGACTAATATTGTATCGTTAACTTCTTCTGATATACTACTTGTATTGTCACCTTCTGTACATTGTGAACTTTCGGAATTAATAATTTCTGTTTCTAGAGTTGTACTAAATTGACCAAGTTCTTCACTTGACAGTGTTTCCTCACATTGAACATTTTTGATAGCGTCATCTGAAACAATATCAGGCTTTAAAATGCCCTCTTATTATAAAAATAAATTCTTTTTAATTAGGGGAAAAGAATTAAGGATTAAAATTATTAATTCAATAATTAAATTTTTGATTAAAAAAAAAATAATAATAATAAGAAAACAATTAACAGAAACTAAAGATAGAAAAAAAAAAGTTTATTTACAACGAACGTATAATTATACAACGATGATAAAGAACAAAACACATATTTTAATAAAATTGAAAAAAAAGAAATTATTTACAAAAAAAAACATAACAAAAGTGAAAAAAGAACTTAAAATAATTAACTATTACCTGACGAATGAATTTCATAAATTCCAGTTTGAGGATCTAATGTTCCATCGATAACGGTTTCTTTATCATTATAAATGAAAAGTGGTTCTTTGTCACTTGCTTTTTCGATAATTGCCGCAAAATCCGTATCTTCGAAAACATTATTGGGAGACATTTTGTGACTTGAAAGAAAATTAAATTTTAAAAATATTTTCTCTTTTTTTTGTATTATTTTAAATAAGAAATGGAAAATACTCACCTCTCTTCATTATCATTATTGACAAGTTTAATCAATGAACTATTATTTAATTGAGAATCATTCTCCACTATAGTCGTTCTATTATTGCCTTGATCGTTTAATATAAGATTATTAGCTGGTATTAAAGTTGCTGTTTTAGCTTCAACTTCAATCACATTTGGCGTTTCTAAACGTTGTGGAAAAATCCTATTTTTATCAAGAACATCTTGTCGAATATCCAAAACGACCATTTTACTACCAGGCTGCAACATATTCACCTTAACAATAATTAAAGAAATTACAAAAAATTAAATTTAATTGAAAAAAATATTTCTTAAAATTCTCAATTAATTTTGTTAGTTTGTAATTAATTTTAAATTGAATCATTTGAATTTTAAATTATACTAAAATTTTGAATTTGTTATAAAAAAATTAATTTTCTTTTCGTTTTTTTACTTTGTTGATTAATTTTGCGCAATCCGTATCGCTTTGTTCGCCATTACTGGATGGTATGCGAGGAACCAAGGCTACTGAACTTATCACTTTGCCTCTTGCTTCCTAAAATACAATCCTTCTAGTTTTATTTTCTTTTTAATCGATTAAAATTCTATTAGATCAATTTTGTTTCCAATGTCATGTGCATTTTGAAATTATTACTATTATAATAAAAATTAATTTCAAATTTAATGGAACTTGTTTTTCTAAATTTTTTATTTTTTGTGATTTAAATAATTGAAGAAAAAAATATTTACTCACCTTTCCACCATGAGACAACATAATTTTTTTCATTCCTTTTTGAAGAACAATTAAACTTCTTTTTCCCCCGAAATTCGTTTTTGATTTTGGATCTATGCTTATAGCTTTCGAATTCAATATCTGAGAATGAATGTAAAATTTATATTTTTAAATTGTTTTAAAAAATAATCGAAAAACAAATTTTGTTTTAAATAATAAATAATAAGAATCAGAAAATTAGAAAATTAACCATTTTAGCAGTTGGATGACTATTTGGCTTGACGGGTGTCATTGTTTTACATGTAAGAGTTGTTGGAGATGCTGTAACACATGGTGGACCAGGACCACTGGAATTAGCATTTCCCGAAGTTACATTTGTTAACCGGGCATTGATATCTGTAATTTTTTTTTTTTTAAATAGGTGTTATAAATTGAGCCTATTGGAACAATGTATTGTTTTCAATAATTATGAAAATTTCTCTAATTACCAAGTATTGTTTGCTGATCACCGGTACTTGTATTTACATTGCTTGGCACTATATGCGTAATTGTTTTTAATACCGTTTTACTTGTACTTGCGTCATCAATTTTTTCCATTTCTATTTTAGATAAATTATTCGTCACTGGAATTAATTTTATATCTAAAAAAATTGAAATTTTTTTATTTATTTTATTTATTAACTAAATTATTTTTTTCGTTTACCTTTGTCACTGTTTATTTGTACATTTTGTAACTTGACTTGTTCAACTTTACTTGTTGTGGGCTGAACAATATTAGGCGGCATTGTAACGGAAATTCGTCTTGGACCAACAACAGCAGTTTTCACTTGCGATGGTAATAAATTAACTTTATTTTTTGATCCAATACAAGAAGAAACAGCGGCACTAGTATATTGAACAGTTTGAGCAGTTGGAACAGTATTCGTTTCCTTCGATACTGAAAATATAATTTTCTTTTTACTTTCCATTTTTTTTTTTTTTTAGAAAAAATTCTCAATAAAAAACAAAGGTAACATACCTGTTGAATTAGTGGCTAAATTACTACTGACTCCTACAGAAACAACCGTAATATTTTGAGACGTAACTACAGTTGTTGAATTATCTACATTAATTTCATTAGGTGAATTTTTATTACTGATATTATGCCTATGTGCGTCCGACGATGGTAAACTAGTCGGTGATTCTATATTCTAAACAAAAATTGTATATTTTTTATTCTAATATTTTATGCTTATTAAATTAAATACAATTCAAAATATAAAAAAAAGAAAAATATATACATTTAAAAAAAAATGAAATATTTACCTTGCTACAAGAAGGATTTGTTAACAGAGAAAATTTCGTATTATCTAGATTTAAATTAGGAACTATTAAAGATTCAGATTTATTTGCAATTTTCTCCTTGGAACATGTACTTCCCTCTGTATCTGATGACTGAAAAAAAAATATTGTACATGAAAATTTTTTCAATTTAATTAAATAATTTTTGCGATAACACTACTTACCTCAGTTATTGATCTTTTTCGCTTTTTATCATGAAATTCAGGTTCTATTGACGAAGAAGCAGAAGTTTCCTCTTCCGATAAAAATGTCTGCGGAGAATCAACATCCGTTTCCATTGTCACTGAAAAAAAAAATGTTAATTAAAAAACAAACCACAAAATAAAAAAATTAGAATTATATCAAAGTATTCAAGTTTCTTATTCTTAAATTTTTTTTTTTTTACTGACCATTCGAATCTTTAATTATTTTTTCAGGAAGTGGTTGCTTCTTATTTGCCATGGCCGTGACAAGCGATAAAGTATTTGCAAGAGTTGTAAATGCATTCCGAGCTTTTAAACGAGGTATCAAAGGAACTATTCGACGACCTTCTGTTGCCCAATCTGTTCCAGTATTTGGACCAGTTAATCTGTTTCAATTATAACAATGAAAAAAAAAATATTTCTTTTCAGAATTAATGTTATTATATTAAAAATATTATTTAAAAAATTTCTAAAATCCACTTACTGTTCCGCTACATTAGTTAACCTATCGTCGTTAACAGCTCGTCGAATTTCAGCGCGATGCCTTTCATTAGAAATATGAAGAACTCCTGCCAATTCTTCTAATAATTTTCGTTTTTCATGAGTAAAAGGACCTTGAGCTCTTAAAACGGAAACCATGCTCGCGTAGGCATCTAGTTCTACAGATATTAAAATTTATAATCAATAACTATTTTAAATTACGATACTTAAAAATGAAAAAAAAAAGAAATAGACTTCAATATGTCTATAAACCATAGCTTAAAAAACGATACAAACAAAGCTAATATTCACCCAATAAAAGATAATTCTAAGAAAAAATTGTTCTAAACAATAATCTTTTTTAACATAAATAAAACGCCTATAAAAAAAACTTAACTAGAAGAAGGTTAATTATTTTCACAATTAAAAAAAGACACAAAAGAAACTTGAAAAAATGTTTTATAAATTCGATGTGAAATAAAAATAAAACAAGTATTTATTAACAAATATAATTTGAATTTTCTGAATAGATTAATGAAAAAAAAAAATTAATTACTAAATGGTTTTTTTCATTATAAAAAATATTGAAATATTATTCTAAAAACAATTTCACTCTTAAAAATAAAGCAATAATCACATAGAGACATAACCTCACCTAAGCTTCGTAAATACTTTCTGCATTCATCGCGAGACATGTCCAACTTTCCAGGTAACATAATTGCACAATTATATTTTATGAAAATGAATTGTTACCGAAAAAGTAAACGCTGTGCATATAAATTATGCATTTTAATTTTCTGTTGACAGCACAAAGTTGATGATGAAGTTTGTCGATTAAAAACTAATTCGAGGCATTGATTACAAACATTAAAGATTATTAAACTCGACGATGAAAATTTTTTAACTATGGTTACGTTTACAATCATGTTTTTCATCGATATATCGAATTATTTCAATCCTGATTGGTCGGATTTATTCCAAAAAGGTTTGAATTTACTTTTAGATTTAAACATTAAAGATTATTAAATTCCAGAAAGAAAATTTAATCATTTTAATAAATAAATAGAAAGAAATTTGCTGATATTTGACGTAAATATAAGAAATTTCTCTATAATATAGATTAAAGAAAAAGGAGGGAATTATTTTCATGTTGGTAGAACTGAAAAAGTTCAGTTTTTTTTTTTTATTATGGTTTGGGTTGGCATTCGCCACTGGAGCTCATTGCAAATGGCGTCGTCAGAGAGAGAAGAACCATATTTCGTTAGAGAAAATTTAATCTTTTAATATTAGGTAAATCATAACGTTAATTGTATATATTTAACAGTAATTAAGTTCAGATTTTAGTAAATTATCGATAAATAATAAAAGTTTCGTGGCAGGAAAAAAAAATTAGTATATTTCGATAAAATTTTTTTGACACGAAAATCTAACCTAAAAAGTTTAGCATCGAAATGTTAAACAAACAAAAGGTAATGTATCAGTAAAATCGTAATAATATAAAATTTTTTATTTGATTAATAATAAATAGCAAAATCGCGAAAAAAAAGAATAAATAAATAATAATGTCTTTTATTAAAAGCGAAATAATTTCATGTTGGTAGAATTGAATAAGTTCAGTTTTTTTTTATCATGGTTTGGGTTGGCATTGGCCTCTGGAGCTCATTGCAAATGGCGTCGTCAGATAGAGAAGAACCATATTTCGTTGGAGAAAATTTAATCTTTTCATATTAGTTAAATCATAACGTTAATTGTATATATTCTACAGTAATTAAGTTTAGATTTTGGTAAATTATCGATAAATAATCAAAGTTTCGTGGCAGGAAAAAAAAAATTAGGATATTTCTATAAAATTTTTTTGACACGGGAATCTAACCTAAAAAGTTTAGCATCGAAATGTTAAACAAACAAAAGGTAATGTATAAGTAAAATCGTAATAATATAACATTTTTATTTTATTAATAATAAATAATTAAAATTTCCGAAGAAATGAATGAATAAATAAAAAAAATTAGGCTTTTATTAAAAGGGAATTAATTTCATGTTGGTAGAATTGAATAAGTTCAGTTTTTTTTTTATCATGGTTTGGGTTGGCATTGGCCTCTGGAGCTCATTGCAAATGGCGTCGTCAGAGAGAGAAGAACCATATTTCGTTAGAGAAAATTTAATCTTTTCATATTAGTTAAATCATAACGTTAATTGAATATATTCTACAGTAATTAAGTTTAGATTTTGGTAAATTATCGATAAATAATAAAAGTTTCGTGGCAGGAAAAAAAAAATTAGGATATTTCTATAAAATTTTTTTGACACGGGAATCTAACTTAAAAAGTTTAGCATCGAAATGTTAAACAAAAAAAAGGTAATGTATAAGTAAAATCGTAATAATATAACATTTTTATTTTGTTAATCCATAATAAATATAAGAATTGCAAAAAAATGAATAAAAAAAATAGACTTTTGTCAAAAGCATTTTCATGTTGGTAAAATTGAAAAAGTTTATTTTTTGTTATCTTGGGTTGGCATTACTGCTCATTGCGAATGGCGTCGTTAGAGTGTAGGAAATTCTTTTTGTGTTCGACAAAATTGAATCTAACAGTATTTTTTTAATTGCAACGCTAATTATATATTTTATTGATAATTAAGTATTGTTTTATACAAATAATAAGAAAAACATAAAAGTTTCGTGGCAGCGGGGAAGGAAAATAAGAAATTTAGGTAAAATTTTTTTGACAAAAATAAACCAAAAATTTTGGCATTAAAACTTGTGACTTGTTGCATGTGTGACTTCACATTGCAGCCATGATAAAATTGAAAATAATAAACAAGGTTTTTGGCAGGTTATTACAATTCAAAAAAAGTAGTTAAAAAAATTTTTCATTACGTTGGTAGTAATGTAAAATTGGTTGGTATTTTTTTTCGCTGAGGTTGGTACTACTGTTCACTATAGTAGACATTGTTAAAAGAGCGGTTGAAAGTTACAGAAAATTTTGTGAATATCAAAAAACATCTTTCAATTTTAATAGAAATTAAACGTATATTTCAATAATTATGTTCAGTGTGATATAAATTTTCTAGATTTCAACTATTTTTTCTTGGTAAATATAAGAATTTTTAATATTTTGTCAATTTTGATGACGCTTTAGTATTTAACCTAAAAATTACTGCAGAACCAATTTCATATTTCTATCCTACATGTGTTCGGATGTTTGTCCGCCGTATTTTGGAGATAAAATTTAAAAACAAAATTTATTTATTAGAATTCGCATTATGTTTATTTAATTTTTATTTATTTATTTACAGAGCTAAAAGATAGTCGTCTCCGGAAAAAGGCCACTAATTCTAATTCTTTCGGCATCAATTCTTCTCAACTCAGGTGAATATATTTGTTTATAAAAATTTAAGATTTTACAGTATTTTAAATATTCTTTTCTCTAAAAATTTTATTTTGTATTTTAATAGCAAATTTTTGTATTATACAATTTTTTAACATTCTTATCAATTTTATACTGTAAAAAAATATTTTGCCTGATTTACAGTTTCGAATTGTAAATTTACAGAAATCTGTAATATTACATCTTTAAAAGTGGTAAATTTACAAAAAAGTTGTATAACTGTTACTTTTAAAATATTAAGTTTACAATAAATTGTTTAAATTCACATTTAAATATATACTATTGCAGATTTATTTAAATTTACAATTCGAAACTTTGTGAAACAGGCAAAATATTTTTTTACAGTTTACATGTGCTCTCTAAATCTGAATTAGTAGTTTTCTACTAATAAAAGAGTGCGAATTCATTTATTAATTGAATTAGTAACATTTTTGACTCTTTTTTAGTAGAAAACTACTAATTGCTAGTAGAAAACTACTAATTTATGGAGTAAATCGTATTTTTTACTATTTCAAATTAGTAAGCCGATTTACTCCATGAATTAGTAGTTTTCTACTAGCAATTAGTAGTTTTCTACAAAAAAAGAGTCAAAACTTTTACTAATTCAATTGGTAAACGAATCCGCACTCTTTCATTAGTAGAAAAACTACTAATTCAGATTTAGAGAGTGTAACAATTAAAATTTCTTTTTAAGATAAAATTATTTAATAACTATTTTTTAAAATAAAGTTTTCTGTATTTTTATTAAGACAATTTTTGTTTATTATTTGTCTTTACAGAATTTAGACTTGGAGAAGAATTGGATGAAATTCTTATCCATAGATGAGATGACAAATGACAACTTCTACTAAATCTTCGAATAAGTGAGTCTCTTTTGATATAGAAAATTATTATTTTTACTTATTAAAATACATTACTTTATTACATTAAAGTTATTCTCAATTAATAACACAAAGTTTGAAAATTAATTAAAATTAACCAAAAAAAACTGACATTAAGATAATATTTAATTTTTATAAAATCAATTTAAGAAATAATGAAATTAATTTAATGCAGAAAATATTATTTTAAGGTTTTATGTAACATTATTTTTTTTTTTTTAATTTAAAGGTGTCCAATCATGAAGGATGGGTGTTTGTTGCGGAGCTGCTCCTGGAGGAGATCTTGCATTGCTGAGTCGCAGTTCAATGTAAGTTGATAAATTTTTTTTCCTTAATTTATGTTTATTTTAAGATATAATTTGTTTAAATATTTGGAAATAATAATAATTAGTGTTAAAAATACACTTGAAAATTTATAAATAAGTCCCAGTATATTTAAAAGTATAATAATAATAATTATTAGAATAATAAAATAATTGTTAATATTCAGGATTTTTAAAATTTGATTTTACACATGTATTATGTATAATGAATTTTTTTTCAGGCAGTTGGTCCAGTAGCAGAAAAATTTGTCCATTGAAAGAGAGGATATGCTGACATCGTATTTTTTACACAACGCAGAAATTTTCCCTTATAGGTAAGTTTTTTTTACAATAATTGATAATATTGAGCATTTTCAATATATTATTTTACAAATATAACATCATGAATTATTATATTTTTTCAGGTCCAAAAGAAGGAAGTCCTTTTATAAAAAGGATATGCTGTCATCGTATCTCTTAACTACGCAGAAATCCCCTCATATAGGTGGGTTTTTTTCAATTAATTAATTTAACATTAATTTGGAACTAATTAATTAAAAAATAATAACTCAGCATTTCATAATGTTTTGAGAAAATAATTGTATAATTTAATCTAATAATTTTTTTCTTTTTTTCTTTTTTCAGCTCCTTTTCAATTTTCCAAATATCTGAAGAGACTAGGAAGGATGTGGAAGAAGAAAAGTGGCCCCTGCAACATTTTTTTTTTATAAAATTTTTTTTTCTTTTTTCTTATTTTTTTATAATATTTTTTTTTGAGCTCCCGGCCTCACGCAGAAGTGCGTCCAAGAAAGAGGGATCCTCGGGAGCTGGCCCTGAAGCGCTCGAGAGTGGCAATGACGTTATTGTCCCGACGAGGGATGTTTCGCCGATTGGTGAGTCGATTTTTAATTAACCCCTTCCCTGTTTAAAATAGGTATTTTTTTTATAAATTTAATTAAAATAAATTCATAAATTGAAAATAAATTTTTTTAGATAATAATTTATAAATTGAATTGAAAATGATTTTTTTTCGATATTAATTTATAAATTTTTTAATTTTCTTGCCTTTTTCAAAAAACGTAGCTATATCAAATTGATCCAAATGAAATATTTAAATTTAAAAATAAACAGGGAAGGAAATCTGACAACATGGTGACACCATTGACAAAATTTATTATTTTGTAGTATTTTTTAGGGGTAATCTAAAAAAAGCGTGTGATATTTTTGGAAATTTAGCCCCTCAAAATTTCTAACACTCCCCACATCCTAAAGTATTACATGTTTTATTGATTACTACCTTAATACTACCTAAATTAATATTTTTGTCAATGTTTCTTTTCATTGTTTATATATGTATATGTTATTTACTGTATATGTTTAATATTTTTAATGTTTTGTAATTTTGTTTATTGAGTCAAAGTAATTTTCCATTTAAAAAAGTAATTTAAATTAAATTTAAAAAATTTTATTAACTTTAAATAATTTAATTAATTAATGTTGTTAAACAATTTTTTAATTTTACAAAGTAAATTTTTTATTTAATTCTTAAAATTTAATGCATGTGGAATTGAAAATTAAAAGTTTTTGATAATTTTTTAATAATTAACTAATTAATTATTTTCTTTTCAGAAAAGATCGCTCAGGTGACGGTTGCGTCCCGGGACGTTAACCCTAGTGTAGGTAATTGCACCTGGGCGGTATAGTTTCGTTTAGAATATAAATATAGGTAGAAAATTCGGGAAAAATAGGCATTTGTGTTCGTTTTAAATATAGCAATAGGTAGGGAAATCGGGTGAAAAATGTAAGTAAAATAAGCAAGTAACTGGAGTACCAGTGAAAATTTGCTTTATTTCTATTTTTCATTTTTTCTGTCACTATGTTGTCTTTTATATGTTAATGTCTTGTAAATGTTTAAGTGTTTTGTGTATGTTTTCTAAGTGTTTTGTGAATGTCTTTTTTAATTTATCATTATTTTCAGTTGAATCATCGTGGTGAGCAGAAATTTTTCTTTTTAATTAGGGATGGTTCAGAAATTACGTCACACTTTAAGGGGGGTGGGGGGTCAAACAATTTGTGACGACCTGTAGAAAAAATGGCACTAAATTATATACATTATTATTCCCCCTTCCTCAGGGGAAGGGGAATTCAAATTTTAAAATTTTAATAAAATAGCGTGACGTAGTTTATGAATGACCCCTTGTATTAATCATTTATTTTTTCAGGATTGTTTAATTTATTATATTTTTAATCTATATTTATAAATATTATGTTTTAAGTATTATATATTATTTATTATACTATATTTATTATATATGAAAATTTTATTAATGTTTAAACAAATTAAATTATATGCCCCTATCTCTACTCAAATTAGTTGACATTGTAATTTTTGTTAATTTATTATTTTATACTTTTAGTATAAATTAATATTTAAATTAAACAAAATGTTAATTATTTGAGTATATTGAGAATACTTAGAATTTTTTAAATTGAATTTAAACTACATATTTTTTTTTTATTAATCTGCTATTTGCAAATTTTTTGGATATTTGTTTTGTTGTAAATTTTATTAATCAGCAGTGCGATCGTTTAAATCGCAAACTGTTTTATTTTTTTTACAGTGAGAGTTATTAAGATTTTGTGTGAGTACAATTTTATTGGATTATTAAAAATAAATTTTAAGAGAAAATAATTTTTGAATTTATCGATTCAATTTCAGAGGATGTTTACCTGTGCGTAGATGTATTTGCGCAGTAGCAGACAAGCAGACGACATTTTCCGACTAAAGGCTTAAGCAGAATATATTCTTGAACGGGAACGCAATCGTGAACGGAAACGTAAGAATGAGTGAGAGAAGAATAACGATATTTGCTATCCTTCTCTTATACATTCTTACGTTTCCGTTTACGATTGCGTTCCCGTTCAAGAATCAATTCTGCTTAGGCCTTCACCATATTAAAAGCCGCATGTACATCCATGTGTTTTTAATAAAATAAATATAGTTTATCATGAGTGGTAATTATAGGAATTTCCTAAAGTTATTAGAAAATTGGCCACTGGATATTTCAAAAGCTGGAAGGTACAATTTTTACTTACTATTAACATTGAACAATGTTTTTTAATTTTATAACATTAATTTTTGAAAACAAAAATATTTGAGTCATATTTATTATTTCATTCGAATTATTTTTCCTCAAAGTTTGCTTTTTACGTTTTATTTTATATTTACCTAAATCAATAAGTTTTTCTTTTTTTAAACAATAAAAGAAAGTGACATTTACACTTTGAGTTTCCTAACCTCAAAGTGCGTTAGAAATTATCATAAATAAATTCATCTTTTTAATGTTAAAAATTTACCTAAGTTTCAATAAATGAATTAATTTTCATGATTATTTAACATATGATTAACAGTTTATAATTAATTTAAATTTGATATTTATGTCAAAAAATTTTATCATCCAAACTTTAATAAAGGATATTTTGAAATAATTTTTCAATATTTTAACAAGTTTCATTTTTTTTTTAGGGATCTAAGTCAACACATTCGCGATCAGATACAGATTGCATTCTCAAAAGGCGATGTCCCTCAGGTGAATCAAGATCAATGTAATCGCTATTACGCCAGCTTGAAACGATTGAGTTTAAACGAATACGGAAATCGCTATAAACGTAAATTTGAATCAACAGCAAGTGGACTCACGCACGATCAATGTAATATAGCGCTTACGCCAGAATTATTGTCAGAATTTCAAGAAGAAGATCTTAGCTTTTTGCAAAAGATCAAGAGAAGAGTCAGTGGATCGTAAACAAAAAAAAAAAAATGACTAGTAAAGCGTTAAGTAAGTTTAAAAATAAATTTTTTAATTTTAAATTTAATTATCATGAGATTAAGAGATGTTGTTCACAATTACAATATGCAAAACCAAAAAAGCCAGTTCATTCACCAGTTATGGTGAATGAGGTGCTCAAATACATGAATTTGTCACATGGGGAAACAATTGTCGATATGACATTCGGTTCTGGTGGACATTCAAGAAAAATTCTCGAAACTGTACCAAATGTTAAAATATACGCACTAGATCGTGATCCTTTGGCTTATGAATTTGCACAAGATTTAGCACTTGAATATCCAGGACAGGTGATTCCACTTTTAGGCAAATTTTCCGAATTGCCTGAATTATTGAAAGAAAAAAATGTTGTTGGCAATACAATCGATGGATTTCTCTTTGATTTTGGTTGTTCATCAATGCAATTTGATACTAAAATGAGGGGATTTTCTATTTCGCGAAATGGTCCACTGGATATGAGAATGGATGGTAATCGATTTCCAAATCAACCAACTGTTGCTGATGTCATTGCAAAGGCGAGTGAAGAAGATTTGGCGCGAATTATTAAAATTTATGGCGAGGAGAAGCAGGCGAAAAAAATTGCTCGTGTTCTTGTTGAATCACGATTTACATTGAAGAGACTTGAAACAACATGTGAATTGGCAGAGCTCGTTGAATCAGTTTTAAATGAAGGAAATGACACTGATATGATTGGTCGACCACAGCATTCTGCAACGAAAACGTTTCAAGCTTTTAGAATTTTCGTTAATAATGAATTAAATGAAATTAATTATGGACTATTTATTGCTCAGGCTTATTTAAAAATTGGTGGTCGTTTAATAACTATTTCATTTCATTCGCTCGAAGATTTAATTGTTAAGCGACATATTTCCGGTAATTTAATGGGTTCTCAGATAAATGAATTACCATTAAAATTTAGTAATTATAACACATGTTTCTCAGAAAGTGAACTTAACGAATATTCTAAATCAAATTGGCATATGTTGCATCCACATGTTTTAGTACCAGAACCTGATGAGGTTGAGAGTAATCCACGTAGTAGATCAGCGAGATTTAGATCAATTGTTAAAGTTAGTTAACATAATTTTCTAAATTGAATTTCTGAAATTTATTTAACGATTGACGACTTTAAAAATTTAGGTTAAAATAATTTGTTATTAAATGATTAATAAAACAATAGATTATTATGTAGAGAAATAATATTCTTTATAACAGTAATAAAAAATACAAAATGCAACAATCTGTTTAAAAAAAAAAAATTAACTTTTCCTGAGGTTACTTTTATTGTATTAGTTTTTGTTTTCAAAAAGTTAAAAACTTTTTATTTTAGAATAAACCCTCTATTTCGTCAGTTTCACAATTCCAGTCCATATCGTAAATACTTGGTCTCGTTGATAATCCAGGCATCATCATTATCTAAAATTGATAAATTATTTAAATAGTGATAAAAATGATTTATATATAGTTAAAAAAATCTTTGAAAAAATTTTTTAACTTACTTCACCAACCATTGGCACAATAAAACCTGCGCCAACAGAAACAAAAATGTCAGAGATTTCAATTTTAAAACCAGTTGGCGCTCCTTTTATGTTAGGATCTCCAGTTAAAGAATTAGAAGTTTTTGCCATGCAAAGAGGTAGATTATTGTATCCTAATTTTTCGTATTCGGTAATTTTCTCCTTTACCTGGAAAATTCAAAAAAAAAAATTTATTTTATTGAAAGTATAAGTTAAAAACTTGACACAGGGATGGAATTTTATTTATGATTTCCTATAAGAATTTTAAAAATAATTACCTTATCAGTTAATATGACTTCTCCTGCTCCATACATTTCCTTTGCAATTGTATTTATTTTTTCAACAATATTTGCATTAATATCGTAGAGAAATTTAAAGTCATTTGATTTACTTGTTACTGCAATAATAGCATCAGCAAGATTTGCAGCTCCTAAACCACCTTCAGCCCAATGGTTACAAACTACGGCATCTGCAGCTCCACTTTCAAGAGCAGCTTTCTTTACCAATTCCAATTCTGCTTCAGTGTCCGTTCTATAAATATCAATTTTTAAAATTAGAAAAAATTGCAAATACTTTGTTAATATTAATGAAATGAAGACTTACGCGTGTGCATTGATAGCGACAACAACTGGTACACCATATTTGCATCCATTACTGATATGCTTTTGAAGATTTGGAATGCCTTTACGTAAGAGATCAAGATTTTCTTCGACATACTCTTTTTTGAGTGTAGCTCCTGGAGTAACTACAGGTCCGCCACCATGCATTTTGAGAGCTCGAACAGTTGCCACTAAGACAACAGCATTTGGTATATGACCCGAGGTACGACATTTGATATTAAAGAATTTCTCCATGCCAATATCGGAACCAAAACCAGCTTCAGTTACCACGAATCCCTCGGGACCAACAAGTTTTAAGGCAATAGCATCAGCAATGATGGACGAGCATCCATGAGCGATGTTTGCAAATGGACCAGCGTGTACCAGAACAGGCGTTCCTTCGATATTTTGCATCAAAGTTGGTTCAATGGCGTCTTTTAATAAAATTGCCATCGCTCCGGTCATACCCTAAAAAAATTTTCTAAATCACTTGAATAATTAATATTCAATTTACTCTATATGTTAATAAAAAGAGACGAATGTTGAACATTTTCTAAAGTCATTGAATATATATGTTTTAGTTAAAAACTTTTCCGTGAATGTTAAGGCAATATTGATCGAATGCATTCTCAATAGGATTTTTGTAGGTTTTTAAATTTTTAACAAAATTTCCTGTAACGAATTTTTATTCAACACTATTTCTACCAGACCCCAACAGATTATCATATTTATCAGAATTTCCATTTTATCGAATGTCAGTTTCCTCAATTGGTATGCGTAGAAAATTTATTCTTTGCTACTTACAGTTGGTAAGGAGATTAATAAAATGATTAGTGTACCAGTTTCATGTGCAATTCGATCACCTACTTTATCTACAGTACATAAATTGTAAATAGGAGATTTTGCTAAATTTTGATCTGTAGAAATTTAGATAAACATTCGGCAAAATAGAAATTCTGTTAAATAAAATGTTAATAATATTTATTTTTATACGATTATATTAATTAAATAATTAAATTATTAATAATTTGTTAAAATATTTCTTCTTTCAGAAAACAAAGAAGATATTAAATGAACTTACAAAATCTTCTGCAGTCAAAGGAGTACCACTTTTGCTAAATCCAATGACAATTTTTCCAAGTCTCTGTTTTAAATCTTCGGGAGATGTAGCAAGAGCAAGTATGGCCATAATTTCCGAACCAACAGAAATGCGGAATGCTGTTTCTCTAGTTTTACCTTGCTCTGCAGGTCCTTGGCCTATTGTAATTTTTCTCAGCATCCGGTCATTTAAATCAACCACTAAAATCGGTAAATAAATTCACATATAAATTTAAAATATTACATTTTAGTTATGCATATAAATTAATGAGAAATTATTTAATGGTGAATAAAAATAGTCACCTCTTGTCCATGTGATGTTTGCGGGATCAATGTCAAGTCTGACAAATTTACTTTGCTCCTCTTCAGTTAAAGTATTTGGATCAGTTTTGTTAATGCCCAATTTTTCTAAACGTCTCAATTGAATTTTAGAAAATTGACGAACCCCTTTAACAGTTGGCACTAATCTTGTGTACAAGGCTTTGTCAGTTTGTGTTGATTCATGAAAATATCGAGCATCCACCTGAGCTGCTAAGAGATTATTGGCAGCACTCACCGCATGAATATCGCCAGTTAAATGAAGATTGAATTCTTCCATGGGAATAACCTGAATTAATGAATTATATTTTGATAAAATTAAATTAATTTCTCCGATGAAAAAAGTTTCAAAAATTTTCTTTATTATAATTTAATTGAATGATAGGGAATAAAATAGAACCTGAGAATATCCACCACCGGCTGCTCCACCTTTAACACCAAAAGTTGGTCCTTGACTTGGTTGTCTTAATGTAACAAAAGAATTTTTCCCCCTATGAGCTGATAATGCTTGAACCAATCCAATAGCCGTTGTACTTTTTCCCTCTCCAAATGGTGTCGGTGTGATTCCAGCCACAACGATATATTTTCCATTTTTTTGATTTTCCAATCTTTGTAAAACTTTAAGGCTCACTTTAGCTTTCTTGTTGCCATACAAGCTTAATTCATTTGACATTATTCCAATTTCCTCCGCCAATTGTGCGACAGCTTTTGGTTCATGACTTCTTGATATTGTAATGTCGCTGGGTACCGGTTTTTCCAATTTTAATTTTAAAATTCTTAAATTCCATTCGTTAGAAAGTAATTGCTTTGCCGATCGTTGAGCAGAAATTACAGTATTTTTCATTAGCATTGCCACTGTCATTGGTCCAACTCCACCGGGAACTGGAGTAATGTATGATGCTACATTAACAGCCTCGGCAAAGGCCACGTCACCCACGAGACGACTTCCTGATTTTTTCGTCGAATCTGAATTAATACAATTTTTTATAATTCAATTTTCTAAACGCTATTTAATCTTGAGTCGAATAATTTTTTTTTTTATCACTAATTTATTAAATAATAAACATTCGAAATATTATAAAAAATTATTTTTGCCTTCACTCAAAGAAAGAAAATAAGCAACTGAAAGTCTAGAATTCTTTTACAATCTTCTGTTTTGTAATAAGAATCTCTCATGAAAGAACTGATAATTTTTTTTTTTTATATCTCACCCGGAATTGGATTAATTCCACAGTCTATAACTACTGCGCCTGGTTTAATCCAAGATCCTTTGACCATTTCTGGTTGTCCGATTCCAACTACCAATATATCAGCTTGTGATACCTAATAAATTTAAATATTCGATAATTTAGAAATTTATTATTAGAAATAAATTACTTTTTCTCATAGAAAAAAATTTCAAACTTACAACTTTTGGTAGATCTTTTGTTCTTGAATGGCAAACTGTGACTGTTGCATTTTGCCATTTTAATAATTCGGCAACTGGAGTTCCTACAATTTTACTTCTTCCTAAAACAACAGCTTGCGCTCCTGCAATGGTAACTCCACTTCTGTAAATTTCAAAAAAAGCGTAGTTTATTTTTAATTTACTATTATAATTATTATTAATAGTAAATGAAAAAAAATTACAAACTTCTTAATGAGTTCAATACATCCATTTGGTGTACAAGGTAAAAATCCTGTCATATCACCAATTGCGACTCTACCCTCGTTTATTGTATTCAATCTGTGAAGAGATAATATATTGTTAAACCACACTGTCTAAATAAAATTTTATTCATGTTATTGTAATTTCAATCTGGCTGCTTTAGAATTTTTATAATAATAATAATAATTATGATAGTTCTTCTACATAAAATTCGAATTAATAAAAACTAAAAAATTGAAAATGCAAATTAACCATTTTCTTGGTATTTCTTTTTTAATTTAAAAATGAAGCAATATTTTTTTGCTTATGTAATATTTTTCTCGATAAAAATTAGAATCTCTATATAACTTTCGGTCGTCAATGTCAAAGGTCGATCTGGCTTATATCAATTTATAAATATCATTTTATCAGAAGTTAGCGATTACAATATTTTGCATTTATTTTTAATTGCATAATGATAAATTTTTGCGGGGGTGTATTTACAACTAAATGTTTTATTTCTAACAAATAATAATATATTTGAGTTAAATAAATATTTGTCTCAGAGTCTAATAACTTTTTTTTTATTTTTGACGTAAATAAAATTTTTGTACAATAAATAAATAATTATTTGAAACAAATAAAAATTTATTTGCCTCTGAGACAAATATATCTTTTCTTTGGATGTTATAAATGCGTGTGCGCGAGTGTAAAAATTCTTACCCATCGACATCTTTATTTGGTGAAACTGTATCAGTAATTAGATGTGAATTGATGGTATTTATACTATCTAATGGCATTTGAACAATAATTCCATGAGTGTTGGGATCATTATTTAGATAATTGAGTTTATTGAGTAATTCGGTTTCCGTCGTTGTGTTTGGAAGTTTCATATGAGTGGCTTTTATTCCAATTTCATTAGCTGCATTGATCTTCATTCGAATATAAACATTCGAATCCTCCCGTCCACCCACTTGCACTATAGCAAGACCGGGTTCAAAATTTGGTAACTTTGTTTTTAATTCCGCTACATCTTTTTTTAACGATTCTCGAATTTCCCTTAAAAAAAAAAATAGTTTTCAAATTAAAATAATAATTATAACGAAAGATATATTTTTGAATCAAACAAAATATTATGTTTAATTCAAAAAAGAAATTATTTTATTATACTGTCAAACATATTTAAATTAGTTTCAATTTTTTTTAATTGACTAAATAATAATATTATGAAAATTGAATAGCAAAAGATTAGAGACAGTTTTTAAAGGGCTCCGAAAACCCCACTAAAATAAGTCCCTGCTCTATTCATTACGCAGCATCTGCTTATTGATACCCACGTGAACAAATTTTTGTGTGTAAAATCATTTAATAAGATTTTTATTCTTTCTATATTGAATTAATTTAAAAAAAAAGAATTTATAAAAATGAAAAACAATTGTTTTTATGTTAGAATATTTCTTTCTATTTTCCTTTTTTATTGTTATAATTTCATGAAGCACTTGTTGATTCAATGTATACATGTTGATTGCCGGCTAATATGTCTCTGTTAGTTGTTAATTAATTTATTAATCAAAGCGAGTTGATTACTTATAAAAAAAAAATTCTTTCTTTCACTTACTTTGCTAATTGAGTACCGGAAAGCAAAACTCCACGTACATCAGTAGCCATGCTCCTGATTAACACTCTAATAGATACAGAATAAAAATTATGAACAGTTATTATAAATTTAATGGAAAATAGATATTTGAGAATTAGAAAAAAAAAATTTATAATACACAGCACAAGGTCGTACTTTTACTTTAGAATAGAAGGGGGATAAAACGTGATTCTTTGTTAGAAAAATTTGGTATTATATGTCGTTTGACGAGTAAGGGAATCCAAACTGAACTGTGAACTGTATCTCCAAGACGAAATACTTATTATTTGTGTGAGAAACCAGTGCCGTATTTTAATTTTTCCATTTTAATTTTCTGATTCAATTAATTTTTCACGAATTTCAATTTTTCTACTCATATTTGTTTTCTTTGGTACAACTATAATAATTTGCATATTATTATAATATATACATGGAATTTTTTAGTTACTTTTATTATTGGATTAAATTCATGTGTACATAATTAATTTCCATTTACTTTTGAATATCAATTTTATGTAATATTTATTATAATTACAAAATTTTCTTTCAAAATAATAGATATAGTGTTAGTTCATGAAAATAATTTTTTATTGAAATATTAAAGATGTCAGTATTTAAAAAATCGAATTTAGTTTTAGAAACGCCCCTGTCTTTAGACTTACTGCTTCACAGCTTTGCATTATATTATACACTGAAAAGTATCATCAATTCAAGTAAATTATTTACTTATCGCCTTATTTGATCCACTAATTTTCTTAATTTAAGAAAATTTATTTCAAATTAGTCAAATTTTCTTGGATTAAGAAAATATTTAATCAAATACGGACAAGAAAATTAGTTTTTCTTGATTCAATATTATTTTTTTCCAGTGTGGTAAATCGTTTCAAAAAATTTATCAATAATCAATTTTATTTGATTTAAATAATCAGTTACTTGACTATAATGAAAAAAAATATTTATTTAAAATATAAAATAAAGAAAAATTAATATAAATATCATTAATTTTTTACTTAATGACTCGCAGGGATGTTAGCATTTATACTATTATTAATTCAACTACTTTAGTAAAACTAAATTCAGTTTACCGTATAGTTTTTCTTATGCAAATTGCATATACTATCGTATTATAAAAATAGAAAGATATTTGTGAAAATTACGTACTGGAAAAATATGATTAGATAAACTTTTAACCATTTCGCAAACAATATTACCAAAATGTGTAAAATAAATTTTGCTTAAAAATTTTAAAATGAGATAAAAATCTTTAAAAAAAATCTATACAAAATTTTCTCCATTTTTGAATGATATTTTTTCTTAAATTTTATTGCCATAAATCAATTGATATTATGTTCAAACTGATAATTGCAATGCGTAAGAAATGTATAATGGTAATTAAAATTGATATCAGACAGAAAATAAATTATTTATCGGTTTTAAATGTCTTAACTGTTATTTATCAATTTAAATGAAATATTTAGGAAATAATTTTAAAAAAAATAATATTCTAATTATGGATGGGATATAGGACAAAAACAATTTAATTCTCAAAATTCTGTTTTCTGCTATAGTAGACTTTGAGGCTCCTTGTCTAATACTGTAATTTGCCATGTCGTCTGCAGCTTTAACTGAAGACAAAAACAGCCTGGCCTTTACTTAGTTTCTGATAATGAAAACATGATAGGTCTCTTATCATTATTATATAAAATGATTAACCTTACTTTATGGTCAGTCTAACTTAGTGAATAATACTAATTTAACCAAAATTCTCAACCGTCAATTCCCCCCTTGGGTTTTATTTATATAAGAACCAGATTATTAGAGAACTTATTTTAATTTATTTCTAATAAACGCATTTTTCGTATTCTTTTTTCTTTTTCTCACTTGCAATATTTTATAAATTTGAGGCTTTGTCTTTTTTTGTATATATCAGATTTTTGATTTAATTAAATGCAAAACCAAAGGTTTACTAAACGGCTCTGTTGCGTTTAATTCAATGATTACATTGATTGTAGGATTTGTAATACCATCAGGACATTGTTTTCTATACTGACTCGTATCCTAAATTGCGCAATGTAAGTGACCCAGAGTAAGATTAGTCGGATTAAGTATTCCCCTCAGATATATATATATATATATATATATATATATATATATATATATATATATATATATATATATATATTAACATTGAGAAAAAGAATAATTCTTTTCTTATAGAAAACAAATAATTTTTAGAATTTGTATAATTTAGTTCAAGTAATTCTTTCTCGTTGACATTTTTGTTTCATCAAGAAATAATTCCCTTAAAGCTATATATATATATATATATATATATGTTTACTGACTTTAATTACGTCTTATCTTTGCGCTGGTTTCTAGGGGTTCTTGATCGTAGGAATTGTAGTAACTTCACCGCATGACTTATCCCTCTTCCTCAATTTCTCTAGGGATTTTCGTCACCGTTCAAATCATATACCGGCTTTTCTTGGAATTAACGTTAATTAATTTCAAAATCTACTTAATTTTTTAGAACTTGCTTCATAAATAGAAACAATGTTTTAATAATCGTTTACTGCTTAATAAAGATGTCTTTTTTTTTTGCCTTTAATTATATAATCTTGGAATAATTTTCATTAGTTGCTTTATCGTAGAATATTTATATGATTTAGTAGTTTAGGGTTAAAAAAAATCTCAGCTTAGTAAATTTTTGGCTTATTAGCTTATTGACAGGAACTTTAAACATTGACGCACTTTCCATTTCTGTTTGCTTATAATGAATGCGTGACAAGATTCATGGGAGGCACGAATTGGTTTCTGAAGTTGAATAGTGGGGAGTGTGTTTTCTGCCTGATCGCGAAAGCTCCATACCTTCCTATTCCAACTTCTGTGTGGATAGTTGAGCTTAAAGGGTTTGGGCTCTTCGGAGAAACTAGCCTTGGGGTTGACTGGGGCCACGGATATGATCAGGACCAAGGAAACTCATGGGGTTCCATGGTAGTGCTTATATATATGTATATATATGTGAGGGGAATAGATTGGCACAGGGAGAAGAAGATCCTCGATTTCCGAGAACCAAGCAACTTAGACCGCAAATTCCTTAGACGTGTTCAGGAAGCTTCGCGTTTCTTGTTACCAATGCATTTCTCAAGTTTAATCAATATCTTATCAAAAATTGTATATTTCACAATTTTATATATTCTGTAAAAACGAGAGTGAAAGATTTTTTTTTATTCTTCATAGAAAAATATATGAAGCATTGTTTCTCTTAATCACTTATTTTTGTTTCATATCAAATACAAGAATTTTTATGTTTCTATTATAATAAGTATTTAAATAAATATAAACAAATTAATCACTTGAATTAGAGTTTGGCTCGTTTGGCTCTTAGCCACTTATTAAATGAACCGCAGTCATAAACCAGAAGTTATAGTACCCAGAATCTCATCTCTCATAAACATTTTCACTGCATTATTCAGGAAGATGATTGCGCGTATATATACAGTTCTCTCGAAACTCACAAGGCGACAATAATAATACAAATATCCATTAGAATTTTTTTTTTGCTAACTTTTCTTATTAAAAGTTTTAATTTTAAAAAATATATTTTTATATATTAATAAAATTTTAAAGTATAGAAATAGAAAAAATTATCTATACTAATCGAAATATTTAATGTACAAATAAAGTGATTTGGTTTCAAGTGTTATAGATGAAATTATATCCGTAAAGCATGTTCTCTAATCGAAATTAATAAGTAACTCCCTCGGATCTAGACGATATCTCGATTTCGATGAGACTCATCGCGAGATTAGTCGCCGGCAATAAATAGATGATTGAGAAACGGCCCTTTCAGTACGTCAGGATAGGGATATGAAATTAATACAACTCTATCGTCCAGCCTGTTTCCAAGGCTTTTTGGCCGCAAACTCGAGATTCCAAGGCATTCCTGGGAACCTTAGGTCGCTCGGCCGGAAGGACCCTTCGATCCGAATATCAAGGAAATTAGATATAGGAGACATCTATGCGTGCCAATGTGTTGGTAAACACCAACATGTATATTATATAGTACACCCAAAAAAAAGTAATCTTATACTTAGAGGAAAATTCCTCTTCTAATATCCTCTAAATATTTCCTCTTAAAACAAGATTATTCAATTGAAATGTAGAATATTTTTATTCTTCATTTTAATGGAAGAATGACAAAAGGATTCCTTTTGTATTTTCCTCTTTAATTAAGATTTTCCGTTTTAAATTTAGAAGATTTAAAAAAAGGAAACGGAAAAAAATAATGTAATCGTTTGATCCCTTTCCCTGGGTATGATAGTTGTGAAGTTGTTTTTTAACCTTTCAGTTTTAATATTTCTGGTAAAATGTCAACAAAAAGGACAAAAAAATGGATTTACTTTATTAAAAATACAGAAAATATAGTTAAATTCAAATTAAATGAATATTTTTAACGCTATTTTTAGATTTAAAAAAATTTGGATATTTCTTGTGAAATTTTACTACTCAGGTAAATAGAAATACTATAACCCCATTTTTGAATCTTTCGAATTTTTTAAATCTTTTTATTTACTTTTTTAAAACAGTTTTAAAACGTTAAATAATTTCATATATGAAATTTTTTTCTGTCCTATAAAAAATGTTAACTTTTAAACATATCATCATGTTTTAAAATTATTTTTGCGCTGAAAATCTCGTTGATCATTACAACTGATTAATGAAAACTTATTTTTTGTATTTTAATTATCAATATAAAATGTTGATAATTAACCAAAAACATGACATTGTTAATGTTATATTAAAAAACAATTTTTATTATTATATTGAAATGAACTATTATAATTTTACTTAATTTTAATTTAAAAATGTATTTTCTGCAAAGATTTTATTATTTGATTGAAATTATAAATATTTTATTGATGGCTTTGACATTAAAAACAATTTTACGAGGTTTGGATGTCGACATTTAATTTAAGAGGAAAATCCTCTTAAATGAAGAATAATAATTTTGATGCCAAAATTAAGAGGAAAATATGCATTTATTTTAGAGGAATCCTCTAGATTGAAAATTACTTTTTTTAGGGTGTATAGACAATTATGATAAAAAAAAAGTTGTCATTAAATTAGATTTCCGAAATTTTTTTTATATCTCTTTTAAAACGAAAGGTATTAATTTAATACCGACTTTAAGTATATATACTAAAGTTTTATTTGGTTCTATTTTGATATACCTAAAATCGGTACTATTTTAGTACTTTCTTTTTACCATAGTGAAGATTTATTAACATTGGTTGGCTCAATAATATATTTTTATGGATGAGTGAATATCCTTTTAATCAATTTTTTTTAAACAAGAAAATTTTAACTTTAAACGTATAAATTTTTGCTTTTATCTAAATCACTTGAGACTTTTTGTTTGATTGGCGGAAGAGAAAAGTGAAAAACTATCGACCCTCGATGAGATGCTATTATTATTCTTTCCTTTAAATCATTGATTCAATGTAAATTATATTTTGTTGTAAATTTTTCTTCATGTTCAATTGTTTGTCTAATTATAATACTGTTTCTATTATTTCAGCATTATTTGTAATTGTTACAATTTTTTTTTGTCAGAAATGGTTGTCAATACTTTTGCCCTGCATTGCGTTTTAACAAAATTAAATTGAATTCTCATTTAATGTAAATCGATTCGAGAAAAGTTTTTTATGTCTAAAACCTCCTTCAAATTCCGACTCGCATTATCAAGGTTTCCTTCTCTGGGAAATAGATCGAATTTCCATTTTCCTGACGGTAATCGCTTCTCTCAACTTTATTGTGCTCGAGATTAAGGTACTTTTAGCTATATGTGTATGTGTGTGTATGTATATATGTGAATTATAACTTTTGGAAAGTAATCCTTACAATGAGTGTCATTGAATATTTTTATTTAAAAATTAAATGATTAATTTAATTATTCTCTTGTATAATATTTTTTATTAATTGTTTGCTTCGTTCGATAGGTGTCATATTTATGAAATTTATGACTTTAGAAAAGTGTTAAGACATAAATTTTGACGATAAATTGATGGTAAAGATTGGCGCGCGTGCGTTCATGGGTCAATAGTTTGGAGTTTCGACAACCCTAACTGTATTTCGAGGGAAGGGACAAGAAAGATAACTTTCCAGTGAGGGTAAGACGGCGATGCTGGGGGTTGATTGGGTGGACCCCCCTTTCGAAAGACCCCACATCTCTCCAGCCTCTCTCGCACCATGGCTCTTCTATGATGAAAGCAAAATTATTCTCCCCAATGTAAAAAATATGGCCGACCAAATGCAATTCCAAAGGGCTTTCTCTCCTTTTACTCCCTTTGGTCAAACGGTCTCTTGAACCTTCATAAATGTTTCGTCTTACGTACCAATTATTTGAGGATAATTTTATTAATAATTTCCCACATTCTCCTTCGCAATCTCTTTGAAAATAATTATTTTGGAAGAGTATATTTTCGTTACAATTTCCTTTTAAATTTTTTATATTTATAATTAAGTTTTATAAATTATTTCTTTTAATTAACAAAATTTTTGTATCGAAGAATTTCTTTCTATCGAAGAAAATAATATTTAAAATTTTTTTTTTGCCATTAGAGAAAATTTAGAAAAGATGTTATTTTCTTTTAAAGTATATACAAGTGAAATCGGAAGACCTCTCGATCACGGATCTTCCGTCCCTTGAGGGCAATCATTCGGCCCAGACTCATAAGTTGGCAGTCGCTTAGTGTCCAGCGTGTTCTCCTTCCCTTCTTTCAACCCCCCCTCCCCCCATCTACCCTCCTCCTTCAACATCGAATAACCTTAGTTACTTTGCTAGACTGTTAGGTTCCTGAAGCCAGTATAGTCGAAGTATGAAACTCTCCACTCCTAGGAGAATCCAAGGTAATCACCGAACTTCGCTGCTCCCTCAGGAACAACCCCACACCAGGAGCCGATATAACTTTGCTCCTAGGGGGGTAGTACCGCTTCCCGAGCAGCTCCAATAGTCCTGCCACATCCTGAGACGATACACTTACGATATGCGAAACTTAGTCTCATATTCCAAATTATATATATAGGCACGTAATATAGAATTAAAACAATTAGTATAAACTTTTTTCATTAAATATTTCAAAGTTTGTTTTCTTATTAAAAATCTGGATAATATTAGGTTTTGTTAGTATTATGATTTCTTAGTTTTGTTGGTTTAAAAATTTTAATTACAAACTGGTTGAATTAAAAAAGCATAAATCTTTGACAATTGCTTATTTGGACTTTTAGAATTGAGAATGAAAAAAAAAGTTGATATAGCGGTGCCTGTATGACGGTGGTTATGATGTTGAAGAACAGACTCTTATCTCTAAAATCCCAAGCAACGCTGTGGGTGGACGTTGACAATAAGGTCATCGTGAGGATCCACCTATCCTATATAACAATGGTAGCTTATTATCTCGAACAAAAGGTTAGATCTGCTCTTGCAAACTACCCTTAAAGGGATTCCCTTTTTGCTGAGCGAAAGATGCCCAACTTCTAAGCCTATTAATGAATTCCTTCAACGGCAGCTGTCACCTTAAAATTGACCGACATTATCCAAATTAATTTAAATGTCTTGAGCACACTAAAGTCAAAAGCTCTTCATTATTTAAAAAGCGACGAAATTCTTTAATTTTTCTTCCATATCTCATTATAAATATTTTAAATATTCTAAGTTTTATGAAGTCCTTCTGCAAATATTTAGGTAAAAACTAAAAATTTTTTTGATTGAAATAATTGCGGTTAGTTGACTATCAAGTCAAATATTTATTTATCAAATAAATATTTACTTGAATCAAATAATTTTTATTTGAATTACTCTCTAAATTTGAATTGGTAAAAATGTTTACTAATTTAAATTAGTTACTTACATTTTGCTTCTGAATTAGTAAAATTTTAGTAATTATTAGTAACTTTTACTAACAATTAGTAAAATTTAACTAATTCTAAAGCAAAAAGTGAGTCACTAATTTAAATTAGTAAACATTTTTACTAATTCAGATTTAGAGAGTAAATAAACCGTATATGAAACAATAATTTTCTGTATTTAAAACAAATAACATTTAACTGCCTCCAATAAATATTATTTAATGCAAATAAATATTTATTTGATAATAGTCAAGTAACCGATTATATTTGGAATGTATTGTGTTGAAAGTTTTTGGAAATTAAATTATTTCATTTTATAAAATCTTAAGTTTTTAATAACAAAATTTTATTATAATTATTTCTGGTTCATATAATTTTTAAGAGGCCATTTAAAAACGGATTTAAGAGAATTTTTTTAAATTTATTTAGAGTATTCTTTAAATATGAATTAGTAAAAAGTGAGCTACTAATTTAAATTAACAAGAATTTTTACTAATTTTTAGTCACTTTTTACTAAAACTTTAGTCAACAAAATTTTAAAGTACTAAATCATATATTAATACTTTACTAAAAATTAGTAAAAATTCGTACTAATGTAAATTAGTAGTTCGTTTTTCACTATTTCAAATTCAGGGAGTACATATTAGGACAGCTAATTAATTTAGTAATTAATTCATAATTAATTAATTAATAACATTTCATAATATTAAATATTGAACTCTCTAAATTTGAATTAGTGAAAAGTGAGCTACTACTTCACATTAATAAGAATTTTTTTTTTACTAATTTCCAGTAAAATATTAATATTTGATTTAGTAGTTTAAAATTTTTTTTACTAAATTTTTAGTAAAAAGTGACTAAAAATTAGTGAAAATTCTTACTAATTTAAATTAGTAGCTCACTTTTCACTAATTCATATTTAGAGATAGATTTTTAATTTAATTTAAATTTTGAAGAGTTTCTGAAAAAATTTATTCGTATCAAATAATAATTATTTGACTCAATTAAATGGTATTTGTTTTAAATACAGAAATTATTGGTTCAATTAAATATTTATTTAATAATAGTCAAGTAACCGATGGTTTGAATCAGTTGAAAATAAATTTTTTTTCTCAGTGTTTTAAAAGTTTTTAGTCATTTTTTAAAAATTTTATTTAATTTTTCTTTTTTATTAGAAACTAATAATTTAACTTGCAGATAAATTTGAAAACAAATTTCATAAAATTTTTACTTACTATATGATAAAGTTCCTTTAAATTTTTGTTCCATAGCAAAATAAATTGCTATTGTCTTATATTGAAAATCTAATTATCGAAAATTTAGACTTGTTACAAACACACAACACTTATCTCAGAGATGGCGTAGGATGCCATTTTGAGGAGATTTATTTAAATTATTGATTTTAACTTCTCTTGGGTTCTTCAGAGCCACCTACGCTCTTTCCTCGTAAGTTTTAGCGAAAATTGAATGGTTATAACACTAGGCAAAATTTCGTATTAATCGGTCATGTAGAAATCTGCTTGATAAAATAATTAAAAAGGAGATAATTTTTTTTTTTTAAATTGATTTTAAAAATATTTTACAATTTATGATAAAAAAACAATTATTAAAAAATTTGTAATATATATGATAATAAACTAATTAAAATTAAGGAATAATTAATTTATAAATTATAAGAGGTATTAACTGTACTTTTATTTATTATTTTTGTACATGTTAGAAAATTTATTGTTTTATAATATTATTGGTTTTAATTATTTTATTTTTTTAATAGTCGTTATCAACATTTTTAAGTTTTGTGATGCACTTATTGGATAAAATTATTTGAATGGATTCGATGTAAATAAGTCTTTCTTCTGATTTTCGTTTCTCACGTTTCTTTTCGATCACTCAACTTCATTTCGATTATAGTTTGTGAAAATAAAAGCTAGTTGCACCACAGACAATTCACTACTGATTCTTAGAGAGTTTTGAGACATATAAAAAATATTGTGTGAGATGAAAAAGAACAGCCCTGACAAGTGTCGGAAACCAGTCCTCGTATATACTTTCAGTTTATATTTTGCATACAGAATGGTATATTAGTTGGCGACGGACGCTGACCAAACTGGTCAGTTTCTCTGTATACTCTAGCTTGATTTGCAGCATCCTCGTGAAGTCAGAGCTGCTGGACAATGATGGACCAGTTGTGAACAATGAAAATGACCGGTCGTGAAACCGTTCATAAAACTGGAATTACATGAGATGATCAACCGGTCCAGCAGATGTCTAATGCAATGGTCCAGCTGCTGCGACGACGATGTTTGATATTGTTTGCAAGCATAGAATCGGAGAAAAATAAATCTTTCTTGAGAATATTATTTCCTTAATTTAAAAAAAATTTATACTCGGATTGATTTGCAGATTCATTTACATTAAAGTTCTTCGTAATTCGTTAAAATTGGTCCTCTTGTTAAAAAGGAATTATTTATTTTGAAAATGAAATTATATTTGATTTGAAAAATAGGTTTATAAAAAAACCTTTATAACTTCTTAACAATAAAAAATGAGAAAGAAATATTTCTTAAAAGTGGGTTAAATATTCTCGAGTTTATTTTTCTGTGTATATATAATCTCTTAATCCATAAACCCTCTAAATGCTCGTTTCATAATATAACACATACGGAGTTGGCGTTTGTCGTTTTTTTTAAAAATTTTTTCCTTTTTCCTGGCAATAAAAGAAAAGTTAGAGGTCAGGCAATTTCGTAAACAATTAGTCGACAATAAACCAGCCGGCTGGAACATATTTGGATGAGATGTGCGCTAATAGGAGACAATAAAAAATTAAACTGGCCGCGAGCATAAACTTGGTAAATAAATAATTAAATAATTAGCGAGAGCGCAGAGACTCAGAAAAGGAGTTGGGGTGATTGCCGTCGGGTCGTGTGGCTCTCGGCCCCCTCCCCCCCTCAACTTTAAACCCATAGAGTGCGGGTAGAAAGTGTGAAAAACAAAGAGAGATAGCATATCTTTTGACTATTTTTCTCTGGAAAATTTAACCAAGTAAATTGGACCATACTTGTTCTGCAAGGAGATACGTGCGTTTCTCTATATACTGTTCTCACCTTGCTTCTGGTATGACCAGTGTTTCTCATAGTTTTTAGTTACTGAAATTATAGATTTCACTTTCAATTATCACCGTATGGGTAGAAAGTAGTTTACATATTTTTAAGATTCGTTTGCCCTGCACTAAGAGAAAAGATTGGTTGGGGTTACCATTTTTAGTTATTAAACTACACTGCTGCTAATTTTAGTAGTTGTATTTTTTTGGTTGGCATAAGTATTTTATTAGTTGGTTCAACTAATTAGTTTGTTGAAATAACTATGTAATTACTTACCTTACTAACAAAATGGTTAGGCTGACTAATTAAATGGTAACAGTAACTAATATAAATTAGCAAAAATACTCTTCACAGAAAATTAAAAGGCATTAAAATAAGCTGCAACGCTTATTATTTTAATACAATTTTGCTTATTTTAATACCAAAATGGATTAAAATAAGCAAAATTGGATGAAAATAATAAGCGTTGCAGCTTATTTTAATGCCTTTTAATTTTCTGTGTTACTAACAAAATGGTAATCGCGCAACCAATCGTTTCTCTCAGTGTGGTTATGATAAACCTATGCCAAAACACCTGTTAGTAGTATCTCGCTTTTTCTTATTTCTCCACTATTGATTTTACGTGTACCAGTAGCAGAGAGGTATAACAATTAGAAGCACCTTTTTTTAACTTATATTTCGATTTTAATTCAGTTAGAAAAAAATCTGAGTTCATTTTTAAATAGAAAGTGGTTCATTTGTTTTTATGTATTGCTATTTAAATTTTCAAATCCATGTTCTTTTTTGTCAGGTAGAACAGAAATATTTTTTTATTTTGTAATTTTTTGACGGGAAACTAATTTGAGAACCTGCAATGGTAGTTGGTGTGCAAAGAATATTATATATGAACTCATCTTCTCTTGGCTGCGCTTCTATACTGCTCTTACTTTAACACCATCTCTTTTCCGCTGGTATACCGCTCGTGGTGGGAAAACAAAATGAATATAAAATAAAATTAAAAAAGAAAACATACAGAACATAAAGAAAGAGGAAAAAGAGAAGAAGCTCTGAGGAGATGAGGGAATATATAGAAGAGAGTCTGTGTATAGCGTTTTATCGCGCGGTTTATGTTGCTCTCTTCTCTTGTTCTAAACTAAACCCAGTGTTTGCTTCCACACGAGCAAGAATGCTAATTGGAAAGCCCAGGGCTTTTAGCTTTACTTTTTACTTTCTTGACTTTTTTAACTAAAGAAAAACTTCTCTTTCTAGACGTTCTTTCATTTGAATATAGTTACTTTCTACATACGTTCAAAATATGTTTACAATTATACAAAACTTTTCTCATGTATACTGTAACTACATATATAGTTTCAATAATAATTATATGACAAAAGAAATTTTTCATTTAATTTAGTTCAGAAGATTAGAATAAAAAAAAAATCTCTAATTGTTTTGGGATAACACAGAAAATTAAAAGGCATTAAAATAAGCTGCAACGCTTCTTATTTTAATCCAATTTTGCTTATTTTAATACCAAAATGGATTAAAATAAGCAAAATTGGATAAAAATAAGAAGCGTTGCAGATTATTTTAATGCCTTTTAATTTTCTGTGAAACTAATAACTATTCCACTGAGAAAAAAGATGGGTTGGGTTTACCATTTTTTTATTAAACTATACTGCTGCTAATTTTAGTAGTTGTATTTTTTTTGGTTGGCATAATTATTTTATTAGTTGGTTCAACTAATTAGTTTGTTGGAATAACTATTTTATTAGTTACCTTACTAACAAAATGGTTAGGCTGACTAATTAAATGGTAACACGTAACTAATATAAATACTCTTACTAACAAAATCACAGAAAATTATAAGGTATTAAAATAAGTTGCCACACTTTTTAATTTAATCCAATTTTGCTTATTTTAATACCAAAATGGATTAAAATAGGTAAAATTGGATTAAAATAATAAAACAATCCATTTTGGTATTAAAATAAGCAAAATTGGATTAAATTAATAAGCGTTGCAGCTTATTTTAATGCCTTTTAATTTTCTGTGATAGTAATCGCAACCAATCATTTCTCTCAGTGTAATATTAGTAATTAATTAATTATTAAACTAATAACTATTAATATTAGTAATTAATTAATATTGATATATTAAAATCATATCGATTTATTAAAAATGTTTTTTATTTTCAGGAAAAATTGTCTACAATTTGAAAAGATGCTCGTCGTCGTGAACTTTTTCTGTATATTTGGCGATTACTCTCAGAATTTGGAGGTTTAAAACAACAACTACAATTGGTGAGTGAATTAGCGTTTTATTTATTCAAGAAAAATTAAGTCCTCTAAAGAACAATATTAATAAAATTTAAATAAATAAACATAATAATGATATATACAAAAATGGAATAAGAGAAAAAACTAAACGAATAATAATATTTAGGGACTGTTAGAGAAAAGAGATATGCCTTAATCAGTAAGGAGTACTGAATTTTTTATCATCTTGTTTAAATATAGGAAAAATAATTCAACTTGTAATAGAAAAATATTCGAAATTGGAACAAAATTGGTTATTTTTAACATATTCAGTTTTAGATATACTTAAACATTCCCCTTTCATTTAAGACAGGTTTCGCTTCTGATGCGTCTGGTTTTAGACAAACTTGGCATGAAAAAGTATTGTCCATGTTAGGGTAAAACTTTCTACAACCCTGAAAGTTGGGAATTCTAGAGGTCGAGGAGGGTTGGTTCAGTCTCGAATGGGGAGGGGGGGTCTTTACATCGTATATAATATAGGTGGTGCCGGAAGTTAAGAGGTTGAATGTATATGGGCGTGGCGTAAATTTTAAGAAACATTGTCTTGTTTTAACCAAAATACGACGTGGGTTATGATTATTTTTTTTTTCCTCTATAAAATCTTATTCTTAAGTAATTAATAAAATAACTAAAGAAATCTTTTTTTGTATATTAGAATAAATTTGTTATTCATTTTGTATGTATTGTCTCGAAGGTTATTTTGATAATTTGTAAAGGGTCATCATCGCAGAAAATGGTGGAAGTAGTAGGTTCCACTTTTGCGAGTGGTTATGCTTTCCGGTTCCTCTGATGCTATTATCCGGTCTCCTCTTCGCCGGTTGCGTTGTGCCTAAAACAATAAAACACCTTTATGAATGAAAACCCTTCCAATCCTCTTCTTTCTCCAGCAGCACACCTCCAACCCTCTTTTAACATGCTTTATCATCCACCTTCCATTCATTCGCGGTTGTTGGTAATAAACCTGAAACCAGGATATGACGTGCTTTCTAGGTATGGAACTCTTGACACGCGAATTTCTTTCTTATTTTTCATTGGGCCAATTTGATTGAAATCGCATCTAAAAACAAAAATAGGCAAAATATAATATATCTAAAATTTTAAACATTAATGATATAATAATTAAATGATTATGCGAATACTGATGCTGTTTTATATTTACTTTTGGTTGTATTTATGAAATGTGTAAAGTGACTTTTGAATGTGGTGTTTATTTTGAAAAGAGAGAATGGCAGGAAATTCAAACATTGCGCAAAGTAAATTGTAAGTCCAAGTCAGAGAGGAAATCTAGAGATGCAATTGGAAGCATCCATTTGCCGGAGGCGGTTGGGATGAGTTGGCAGCACTATGGACTACTATCGGTTCCTTGGGGATGTTTCTACCCCTATTTCTAGCAACTACCCCCCTTTTACCGTGTACTCCTCTTCCGAATAACGTTGTGGGTATAGTTATACAGACTTGTACGTGCCAGCATGGTGGGTATTGATCGTTGTTGGAGCTGGAACTACCTACTTCTCCTTCACCTGCAGTAACGCATCCTTACACATCCTTATACACACTCCCTCTGACGTAAACCGCCACCGTCTAATCTCTATCTCGGTGCGCTCAAACACATTCACCATGGTTACTGCAGTGAATCTAACTTTACATCCAAGGGATATCGCTTCGGTTCTCTCTCTCTCTCTCTCTCTCTCTCTCTCTCTCTGTCTCTCTCTCTCTCTCTCTCTCTCTCTCTCTCACTCTTCACATATAGTTTTATTTTTACTAACGTGCTTTCTATCTTGTTAGCAAGGACTTATCACGCTTCATATACAAGAAGCTCATGCTTAACAGAATATAAGATATATGTGTTGAAAATTTGTCTTTTTTTTTGCTTCATGAGTTTCTCAATCCAGTTGGAAAAAATTGTAGAAAATTTTCCTAGTATAATTCTCTAGAATTTCTTTATGGAAAAATTAATTTCATTTGGAACAGAGAAAATGAAAGATTTAATTGAATCAATTAAAACATTTTCTACAATAAAATAAAAATTGATTCGAGATAATCATTTACTTGTCCGTATTTGATCCACTAATTTTAATTCGAGAAAATTTAGGTAAAATTTTCTTGGATCAAGAAAATATTTAATCACATACGCAGACAAGTAAGGTTTTCTTGATTCAATACTATTTTTTTGTTATAGTCAAACTTTTCGCTACTCTAGGTAAATATTTTTTTCCGTAAACGATTCAACAGAATAATTTTTTATTATAGTATATTTCTGAAGAAATACACGCATAGAAAAAGTTTGCTGTGGCAGCGAACTATTTGCTGTCACATTAAATTATGTTAGCTAATATATAGAGACAGCGAACAAATTTGCTGTGAGAACAAAAAAATTTGAAAATTTAAGTTGATTCCAATAAACTTGTTCGTTGTCATAGCAAAAAATTTAGCTGTGGTTATATTATTAATTTTGAGAGATCCGATAGTAAACATCAGTTAGCATCTTTAAGCAATTTCTTTTTTTTTCTTTGTTAGAAATAATTTTGTTCGATAATACTGATAGAAATTTTTTTATATTTATATCTAATATAAAAATTGAATATCATTTTCTATGCACTTGATTGCTTTCTCGTGAAGAAAATATTTTATTTACTAAAAATATTATTTATATAATGAATAAAACATAAAATGTTAATTCTCATTATTAAAGTATATTCTATCATCAGAATCTTGAAATTATCTATATTGGAGAATAGTGGGAATGCAATTTCAGTTGAAATGAAGGCGTAACTTAAGTCGATAGCGTAAATCGAATCGAACGCGATGATTGCGATTTCAATTGCAGCGAATATGTGGAGAGAATAGGAGCTGGAAAGGGTGAGAAATGAGAATGCTTTTGGTGCTCAAAGGTTCTTATCTTTATTGCAAAATTCCACGTATCTTTGGAAGCGAAAGGACTAGGATGGAAATGAGGACATTCCGCTCTCCAACCGGATTGGACTCTAACCGTTTAGTCTATATATGTATATAACAGAGTCCTTCCAAGCTTGTGTTATCGTCGCGTTTGTCGGAATGCTCTTCCCTTCATTTGGCCTTCTCTATCTCCCTCACTTTCTCCCCCCCCCCTTTTTTTTACCTCTTTTTTGTTTGTTTTTCGGTCGAAGTCAGGTCGATCAAATCTTTTAAGTGATTAAACTCATTACTTAGGATGAGTAACAACGATTTTCTCAGAGCTTAAGCGATTACTACACTATGAGATAAAATTAATTCGTTGCTTTTTTAAATGAGGTTAATTAGATTATTTTATTTCGTACCTATTTAAGCAACAGAAAAATTTATTTTTCCTACACTGAAAATAATTTATTTGATTCAAATAATCGGTTACTTGCGACTATTATCAAATAAATATTTAATTGAACCAATTAATTTTTATTTGAGTCAAGTAAATGGTATTTGCTTTAAATACAGAAATTATTGGTTCAAATAAAAATTATTTAGTTCCAAGTAAATATTTATTTGATAATAGTGAAGTAACCAATTATTTGGATCAAATAAATTTTTTTTCAGTTCAATTTTTTTAAAAATAAATTTAATGGGATTAAAGTAAATTAACAGTGATTATAAAGTTGAACATGTTTTATTTTATGAAAAATATTTTTTGATTGCTTGTTATTCAATTTTACAATATTAAAAATAATTTAAAAAAAAAAAAAAACTGTAAACAATGTAGGCAGGGTTTCCTTCAACCATTGTACATACATGTAGGATAAGGAACAATTCCTTAGTTGGCAGAGGGGTGGGGACAAGTCTTTAGAGTAGGGTGAACTGGCAATGTTTGACCACGTTTTCTAGGGAGGGTAAGACGAGGTAAGGGATGGTCTAACGTGAGCAGGGGAAATCAAGGGATGAAAGGAAAGGCGAGGAACAAGATGGCCGCGGTTCATATAATATAACTAGAAGAGGGGAGCTAAGATGTAGAATTCAGAAAAGGAAATTTTTTTTTTTAAATTTAATTATTTTTTATTTAATCCTTTTTTATTATTTACAATTGTTTAAAAAAAAAATTTTTAAGTGTATATTTATATGTATATTTTTACTTTTATCAGATATTGGGATATAATTTAAAAAATTTTGACCTGAACATTTAACATGTTTACTATTAATTATTATCGATAAATATTAAAAATTTGCTGTTTATTAAATTTAAAATTGTAGACGTTTACAACGAGTGCTTATATAGCGCCGAAGCGTCGGCTTATAACGGCATTGTACTTTAATAATCACCCGTTCAGTAATCCTTTATTATGGAGCGTAGAATCGTATTAGCATAAAAACATGATTATGAGGCTGCATTGGAGGGCACAACGCACAATATTCTCTAATACTTTGGCATATAACCAAATTCCATCTCGTCTTTCCCGCGTTCAAAATCATCTTGTCATGTTTTTAAAATTCAAAATGAAAAAGATATTTGTCATTCTTTCCGATTTTATAATTTCTAATTTTTAGATATGAAAATTAGAAATATCTAATTTTTTCTGAATTATTGAATATTAGAAATTAGATTTTTGCGAGGCATTGAAATTGGCAATACCATTAGGTAATGGTCATTTTGATAATGACCAAAATCGAAGCAAAATGTAGTCTTGGGGCACCTACCCCCTTGGATGAGGTTCAGCCGCTAGCGTGGCAAGCCAACCCGGCAAAAGCGATTAATTACTTTGAGCAATTTGCTCACCAACTCCACTCAGCTCGTAGACCGACACTATTCTCATTTCTCTGTTCTGACCACCCTCTCTGTCCATCCGTCGGTCTGGCTGTCCGTTTTGTGCACATTTGCTGCGAGACATATACACACAGACACACATTTTAGTCATAGAAGTGCTAACACGTTTTAATGTACGCATACACGCAAAACACTTGAGGGTTCAATGTATATCTCTGCATATATATATATATACCTCATCGTTGAACGAAGGTACAGAGTGACTTCCTGTAACGCCGCTGTATACATCCACCAAGCATCCGTGTTGTCGAAGGGTAGAAAGGGAGATAGTTTCCGTCGACCGAAGGTATTTTCCACCTGAGTGCCATACCGGGTGGAACGTTCCTGTTCCCAGCGATCGCTTTAGTATATTTAATCGCTTGATTAGGAACAAGGACTTTCGATTGCAGACACTCTATTCGAGTCATGAGTTTCTTCGTCAAGAAATTAGCCAATTGAATTAGAAAATTGGATTGGGTTCAACGTCACGTTATTTTTAATCAAAACCTTTGAGAGATTCTAGTTGGATACTTGTTATTTACATGGAAATTCTATTTGCCGCTTCTGCTGCTGAAAGCTCTCAATCATTTTCGTAAAAGTCACTGGGCTTCAAACGTTTTGCAGTCAAATTGAATGGCACTTTCGTTTTGTGAGACATTCTTTTAGAAAAAGTCTCTTTTTTTCTCCTCACCGATTCTAATACCTTTATATTGGTTCAAGATTCTTTTTCATCACCCAAAAAAATGTTTTATTATCAAACTTGAATATAATATATTTATAAATTAAATAAACGTATATTTGTCTCAGTCCATATAATAATAATAATAATAATAATAATAATAATAATAATAATTTTACACTTTAAAATAATATAAAAATAAAGAAAGGAGGAAAATTTTCTTTGAAAAATCTTTTTAGTTTTAAAGAAAATTTCTTGGAATGAAAGAAATTTGTACATTAAATAAAAAAAAATTCTAACATTTATATAGGGTGAAAGAAACATTTTTTTGGATAATAAATTATTTCTTTGAAAAGAAGATATTTTTTTTGAATTAAAAATAATTTGTTTGAAACAAATAAATTTTCTTTATATGAAAGAAAAATTTATCAAAGATATCTTTTTTCTGTGTGTGTAAAGATGATCTTTGACTCGATCGCCTCCTTAGGAATCACTATCATCGCTATCCATATAGAGAAAGAGGTATAGTTGGTGCTTCATTCGCGGTGCTGGGCGCGACTAACCTCTATCGATCGTAAGAAGGCTTACCTATAACACTTCTGTGTAGTCTAAAACTCAAAGCATACTGGGT